AGTGAAAATAATTTAAAAAAATCAGTTAGTCGCGGACGAAGTACCTAAATGGTGGTTTAAAACCGCGACTTTTTCCTTTTCAATTCTACAAGGGATTGTACTTAGGGATTCGGTTTTACTAGTAATAAATTATCGAATGGCCTCTATTTTTAAAAGTATAAAAACAAAATAACCCAACGTAAAGATATAAAAAAATTGTGAAAGGACGTTATATTCCTTATAACTAAAAAGGGGAACCCTGGACAACCAGTGGGTAGGTGGGCTTTGAAAACAAAAACTGCCTTGCTATTTCATGCTTGGAAGTTCTTCTCTTCCCAGTATTTTACGTGATGGTTTGTGGAAGAAAAATAGAATCTCCAAGGTACAATGACAATTGATTCCTGCTTATTTAAGTCATTTAATAAATTCTAGTGTTTAGTGTTTATGCACTCCTGCTGCTCAACTATTGACAGGATCACTGTCAGCGATTATGTACTATGCTAACTGCGAATTCCTTAGGTCTTATAACAACGGTTGCAAGCAACTAGCTTTCCAGTGTTGTGGTTATCCATATCTAAAAATAAGCCAAACCTTTGTCTATTTCAGTTAGACAGGTTTTCTTCACGGCTTCATCACTGTCATATTTGACAAAGCAGATTACTAAAGACGACATGATCAAAACTAATACTGTGTCGACAAATTACTGCAGTACTGGCGTAGGAACCCAATTCCTGTGATTTTTTCCGTTCATTATTCCGATCTAACCAAAAGGATCAAATGAATGTGCATGTAGATAGTAAAAAACTACTGCACAAACTGGCGAATTTGAATACCAGCAATGTATCACTACCTAATTGTACTGTCGGACTTCAGTCTGTTCATTGAATACTATTTTGTGAGCTAGGCCCTAGATTCTAGAACAAGTCTGTTCGTAAATATGTTAACACTTTAATCAGCTATCAATCCTAAAAACCAGAACGTTCTTTCAAAATTCAAAAAGACGTGTCATATCAACTAGATAACCCTCGACTGCACTCTTCTAAATAGCGACTAATCCGTCTCTCTTTTCCCACGCATTACCGCCGAAAAAGTCCCTAATTAACCGTGTAAAAGTGTAAACAATGGTCGTAGGCGTCCGGTGACAGGGCTCGGATGCAAATTGCGAAGGTCGTGGCACGGAAAGGCGAGGCGGCCCAACCCAGGATAAAACCTCGACCCTTACGGTCTGACCCTCGACATGTCAACCTATCCGGACCGACAGATTGTAGCTCGGATCTTTGTTGTGGCCGGTTTCCGCATTGCGCCGCTTGAAATGTTACTCATTTCTCCTGGGCGTGCTTGATTAAAGCCCCCGGGGGCAAGGGTCATGTCGTAATTTTCTCAATCGTGATTATTTACCATTATTACCATGAATATTGGCGGTAAGTTGAAATAATCGATAATCGGGTAATAGGAATACTCCAATTCAGTATTTAAATTCATCCTTCAAATCTAAGCTAGCCAATTTATTCCTACAATATCACATTCCAAAATCGTTTCCGTGTTAAGTCCAATATAGATCACCCGACTATCACTTTCATCAAGTTTAAGGTCATAGCAAGAAAATTATCTTATTACTAAAATAATATGCAATAAAAATTAGTCGTTTAAAGGCGTAACATTACATATAAGAGTGGTTCCGGTAAAAATAATGTGCGAAGAAATGCTAAATAACGTTATTTTAAAACCGATATAAAACCTTTAGCCTTTTTTCCTCCTGTGGTCTGCAGGGTGATAAACTTATATGTAGTTAGATAGTTCCTATCATTGGTGAGCCTAACTTCACTGATTTTTGTCAGTGAGGCGTATTGGCATTTCGCCATCTTCAATGTTGAGATTGGGTGATTTCCATGGGGTGAGGTTTTTGGTAGGAGGTCGTGTATGGAGGAGGGAGCTGTTTAGGTATTGTTTGTCGGTATCTTTGAAGGATTAAGTAGAACGAAGTAAAAGTAAGTAATTAAGTAGAAAGAAACATACAAACGGACTAAATTATTCAAGAAATTAGGCGCAAAAACAGCTATGAAAGCCACAAGCAAAATAGGAAAATAGCGATACAAAACCGACACAGTAGAAAAAAAAACGAAATATAGAAGAAGAAGAATAACTTTATTCTGGGACTGGTGTCCCCTAAGAATAATTTACATGAAATAAATAAAAGAAGTTCCTCCTCTGAAGTTAAAAGTTAAAAAAATAGAAATCTTGGCACAATGTATACCAGGACAGAAGAAAAAAATTACGAGAATATTAAACAAAAATAAGAAATGTTAACGTGAGGTCTGCTTGGAGGGAGAGGAGGTGATTATACAGGTGGAATTTAAAGGAGGAAAAGGAGGCAGCGTGACGAATAGAAAGGGGAAGGGAGTTCCAGAGTTTAGGGACTCGGATCAGAAAGTATACAGTATGCAATATACACACTCATATGCAAATGCTCAGACAAATAGCTAAAACAGAAAACTAAAAACAGATACAAGGGACATATCAAATCGCTTAGGGTCAACGACGGAAAATCAAATTACGCGACTCGTCTTATAGAAAAGGGCCAGGAACCATCGATACTACAAAAAAATATGAAACTGCTAGAATGTACAAAAATGATGAAAAATGAACATATTAGATCATTTATAAACATAATACCTTCAAATTTAAAAAACTCATAAATACACGAATTAACGATAACTCGCCAACATCATTCACAAATTAAAAATAAAAAGGACCAAAGATCAAAAACACCGATTAGTACAATGAAAAATACCGACTTCATTCATTATACACAATGACAAACGATACTAATACCGAAACCTTTCCACCATCCTCGTCCTCGAAACTAAAACTACACTTCCACCGAAATCAACCCAACTCAATACTGAAGATGGCGATATGCCGAAACGCGCTGACGGAGCACGGGAATCAATGATCATAGGTACCATCAATTGTAGGTTTTTTAAATATTATTTTTTGCTTAAATCCGAATAAGCAACCAATTTCAACCAAACTGACAAAACAACCAAAATTTTGTATTTTACAATAAAATAGTGTGATACAATATGTAAATAATTGTACGAAGTTAAATTCACTAGTTTTCGCGTTCCGCTTGACCAATTAAATTCTTACAATAAATTAAGGTTTTCAGTTGAGGTACTGCTGAGCTATCCTGACTCCGATCCACTCGGACACTAACTTCCCATCTCAAGTGGTAGAGTAGCGGCGTATCTAGCCGAATGTCGTGGGTTCGAATCCCGCTCGTGCCATTGACTTTTTTATCTCAACTAAAAACCTTAATTAATTGAAAGAATTTAATTGGTCAAGCGGACCACGAAAACTAGTGAATTTACTAAGTTAAAATGAAGTATATCTTCACAAAAGCTCTCCGAGGCCATTTCATTTGTCGCCGAGAATCAAATAGAGTTGACATGGCAGATGTGAAAACACAAGGACAAAAGAAAAAAAAATCTAATAGATTAGACGACATTTGAAAAATGGCAAAAAGGAGGGAAAATTCAAAAGGTGGGATTGAGTTGGGAAATAGCGTCCGAGTAGATCGGAGTCACGATAGCTCAAGTGGTAGAGTACCGGCGTATCTAGCCGAAGGTCGTGGGTTCGAATCCCGCTCGTGACACTGACTTCTTTACCTCACCTAAAAACCTTAATTAATTGAAAGAATTGTACTAAGTTTTACTTAATCTCTTATTAATTTCTACTTATTACAGCCAAGTTTTGAGATAAAATTTCAAATTTTATTTATTGTAGCAAAATAATAGAACACAACAGACCCTTATGTTTTATTATATTAATATATGTAACACTCTTCACTTCTGGCAAAATTTCGTTTAGTAAAAGTAAAGTAATTCCCGCTTACACTTGGCTTAACTAGAGTATCGCGGACGAGGGGTCAAACCGCTTTACAATACATTTTTTATACTATAATCAATTAAATAGCCTTCAAAGGACTAAGGCTGCCTGTACCTATGTCCGTTTCCGGACTTACACAGGATGGTTGTGCAATCATATACCCCTGAAGGCCCAACCCTCACGTCACCAGGCGTTAGCCATCAATTAAATAGCCATGGGTCCCGCCGGGATTCGAACCCAAGACCGCTAGCATGGAAAATACGAACCGGACAAACTCACCACTCGGCCACGACGGTCCCCAACAAAGTTTGGTTTATTTTTGTTAAACATGAATCAGTCAGTATAAAGCAATTTTTTTAATATTATTCACCTCCCTTTAAGTTCGATTTATTCTTGCTAAGTTTGGTTTATTAAAGCCAAATAATGAGATGCAATCAGTGCTATTTACTTACTGCTTAGAAGTTTTACCTATTCTTGCCATATTTTGCTAAACTTTTAATGAGGTCATCAGTACAAACATCTATGCATTTGTCAACACTTTACTGGCTACACATTCTCATTAAGTTTTGTTTATTATATGGAAACCATAAGATATAATCAAAATACGGTCAAATGAATTTCGTAATACTCTGAATTTCTTGTTAACATAAACTTAAACGAATCGGACTTGTAAACTGCATATTTTTTTAAATAGTTTTTATTTTAAACAGTCACGTGTTCATGTATGTGCCAAGGGGTAGAAATCGACACTGTGCTCGGCCCTCTTGAAACATCGTACGTGACCAGAGAGTCCTTGGAGTGTTGCATGTTGTACAATATTTAAAACGTTTCTTTATGTGACTCCCGTTCTATGTCGCCGGTTGATGAACATGTCCTACCAAAAAAGGAGGGTATAATTAATTAATTTTTTCAATTTGCCTATTCTTTGTCTTTCTTTCTTTTTGCGAAAATCCTTAGGATTCATTATCTCTTGACCCGGATAAGTCCGAGTTAAAGAGCGTCCTGTTATTGTTATAACGATTGCGGTCGTCGACAGGGAAAGTTGCGACTGACCGCGTCAATCGTAACGATCTTTGATGGCAGCCTCAGTTTACATTAGAAGGGTTTTCACTTAATGACACTTTTTTTTCCAGGATCACATTCAAGAGGTTTTGGACAAATGGACCCAGATCGACGACGAGATTTGGGCGAAGGTGATTGTCTTGGAGAGGAACAGGAGAGTGGCAAAGGCGTACGCACGTGCGCCTGTACTCACTGTAAACGGTTCCGACGACGGATTCGACGGTTTCCGGTAAGCAATTTACAAATTCAGTTTCCGGTTTAGCCGAGTTTTCCCCCTTGATTCGAGTCCTTCACATTTAGAGGCAGATTGACAAGAAAAAAAGGATCACGCTTCCATAATAACGATATCTTAGATTACTTTCTCAATATTATAAGATTTTGATGATCTGAAAAATCCGGGTCATGGCCTTCCGGGATGATTGATCTCTCCGGTTCAGATTCAACAAAATTGATAAATGATCTTTATAATAACGGGCAAATTCCCATTGTTCTTTTAACCTCAATCCGGCCGGGGGAGTGTAAACAGAGAGGTATAATATCCACGTCGTAAAAGGAAGGTCTTCGGGATATCGGGTGACATTTCATCCGGGTAGGAAGGTCGCCCCGAGCACGGCCGGGTTTTGAACCGACAGATTCGAAAACCAATTAACGGAGGTGACATTCAGAAAGCTGCTATTGAAACAGGCCGCTAATTATGTAGGAGAGAAAAGGAAAAAAGTCAAATCGCATTGTTACCACTGCGGAGTCTTGGGGAGGCCGAGAAGTAACAATTGGCAAATTGGAAACAAATAGCCGACACCCCTTTGTCCATTAACATCCATCTGCGATTGAATTTAAATATCGCCGCATCCTATTTAATTAAAAACATCCAATTTGCATGTTCGCCTTTAAAAATTCCAACTTCCTAGTGATGTCACAGTTTTATTTTAAATTGTAAACCTACACAGAAATATCTAATTTTGGTATGATATCAGCCATTTCTTCCTACCGATAGTTTATCATAGAATTATCGACCTTAGCGGGCCGAATGAGATCTATACAATTAGCTTGTTGAGGACCTCATATTTCAATCTTTCAAGGATGAAATTAATACTTTTTTCCATTTTTGGATTCGACAGAGTTCAATAAAGTGTTACGCACGTCATGAAATCCATTTATTTCATGAACCCATGATGGATAAAATGACCTCAGGTTTATCGACTTTCATTTATCAGATATCTCCCAAAATTGGTAATCAGCTCATACTTTCTGATATCCTTGAAAAAAAAGCAAATTATTTTTAAAAAATGAAGTTTTCTCCGATTTTCGAAATGGATTTTTATCTATTATCATTAGTTTTATTTGTTAATTAATTTGTATGACCTGATGCTAGATTATAAACATTCTGTCAGACTAGCCAAACCTCTGGCGTAACAAATAAGCATACTGCTCTGAGTTTTTTTAAACTGTACATAGAAAAACCTTTAATCGTAAATATACAGCATAAACAATTATAAAAATTATACAAAACTTTCTTCCTTTTTTTTTATACATATACATTATTCATCAATTTTATGTGTATATTTCTGTGTATTTGGTAGAAATTGTTGGTTCTTTTTTTTTTGTATTTCTGTGTTTATTTAATAATAAATTCACTAATTTCGTGGTCCGCTTGACCAATTAATTAAGGTTTTTAGTTGAGATGAAAAAAAGGGGGAGGAAAAACTCATAAGGGGGGAGGGGTTGTGATGGGGAGTTGATGTCCGAGTGGATCGAGGTCACGATAGCTCAAGTGGTAGAGCAGCAGCGTATCTAGCCGAAGGTCGTGGGTTCGAATCCCTCTCGTGCCATCAGCTTTTTTTCATCTCAACTAAAAACCTTAATTAATTGTAAAATTTAATAATAAAGAGGGCAATTTTTTTTATTTTAAGAATTTAACCAATATTGACCAATTTTTTTGAATTCTGGACTCTGTTTTTTTTTAAATATAATAAAATTAAAGAGTAATTATTTTTGAGAGTTTTCTGTTTTCAATAAAAAATTGATCATTTACCATATGATTAATAAAATAAAGAATCTTCATCTAAAAATTAATAGTAANTATATATATATATATGCGATCCATTCGAACTAAAACTATTAGACTATCAAACTATCAGTCCTAATTTAATAAACGAGTGTTATATTCAATTGATTTGAGCAATTTTCTTTAATACATTCTAAAAAATTATTGATCAAATAAAATTTAACGTAATGATCAGATATTAATTGTTATTATAAAACAAATTACTAGAAAACTTGTGGTAGAAGGAAGAAGTTTATCGTTGAAATAATTAGTAAATTGTATTGCCGCCATTTTTTAAATTATTCATAATCGTTCCTCAAATATTAATTATCGATTAAATCTGTTTTCATAATATGCTAGTAGTATTTTGTGATTATATGTAAAAATGGTAGCCCTATTAGAAAATTAGGGATCTGAATAAATGTTAAATCAATCATCCCTTTATTAAAAATTACGTAATTAGGCAATTACCGAAAGATCTGGAATAATACTAGCGGTTGCCTGTTATTTAACTGTTATAAATTTACCACGGCGGCCTCCAACGCTTAAAGGGTCATTGGTAAAATATGCCGAGGTGAGATCATCGCTCTCGTATCACTCATCTTCAGATGAGATCTGAATTTAAAAATGACAAGGCGAAATTTAAGATTTCTTCATAGCAATTTCTTCTCTTCCTTTTAAGCTACTTAGGGATACTTCTAATGTCCATCAACGTTCCAAGTACACCAAAGTGTAGCTAGAGTAAATGTCAAATTTTGATAATTTGACTATCAAAATATTTATAATAGAACTGTTTAATCCCGTCCGTGATATAAGCAATATCACATGATTGTTATTTTTTGAGTTCATTTGCATACAATGAGCGAGACATACGAGCGGTAAACAAGGCGAAAAGTGTGGGTGCCACCGCCAGGTAACGTTACACAATTTGATTAGTGAAAGTCACCTGTATTGACCATATTCAGATCAAATGGCATAACTTTAATTTCCCTCTTTTTTTTTACATAATCAAAACGGGCAAAACCTCAAAGAGTGGTTTTAGAATGTGGACACTTTTTATCTGTTACACAGGAGGAGAAAAAAAAATTAGCTAACAATGTAATGGGTCGGAAAGAAAAGGGAATTCACTTGTATGGTCTTGCTTGCAGAGCTTAATTGTATTAAGGTCAACATTTTTGCAACTTCATCAATGGGTGGAGATCCTCGCTGATGTGTAGGCCTTTACGGTGACTGCTCCAATAAAGCAAAAACGTGTCAGCATCTCCTTGCATAAAGACAAGGCCAATCTGACAACGCGCAACATTCTTCTTACTGCTTATACTGATACCGTGCAATTAGTGGAACAGCTAAAGATCTGTCTCAAGGTTAATCCTTGTACATCATTCTACTGTTTGAAAATTTCATTTTCACCTTCGTAGAACAACCAAATATTTTATACCAAAATTCTTTGCTCAGACAAGTCACAAAAGAGCACGATTGTAACTGTAAGTATGACAGAATATTATTGTATATCATTGTCCTCGAACGTCAGGAATCGGGTTTCTGATTAATTAATTTTCTCCATAATGATCAGGATGATTGGAAACCACCAAACTCTGGGTTATAGCACTTCATACCTTAAGAATAAGTCTCATGTGTTAAGACTCGTGTTTTCGATTATCTTGGCTGCTTTGATCTACCGTACGCGTTTCGTTATTCTACTAACTTCAGCAATGGGGTTGTTATGACAGTTATAACTAGAATATTCTGTAATCACCCTTTTGGTTCATAGACCTGCGGACCCGAAGAATGGTCTCGCAAATCAAGAAACGTTCTTCCAACCAGGAAGATCGCCATGGTATGTCAGCCGTGTTCCTTCATCTAATTACTTCAATAGTAGGTTTTTTACTTAATATAAATTGGGAGGTTTATAGGCCGACAAACACCTGAGGTCATCGTCGGCCCTCTACGTGTTTTCCTTCTTTTTCTGGTCTTGATCTGGTTACTAACTCTCTGCTTTAATATGTATGCTCCCTGGAAAATATTAAAAGAGGTTACACTGACAAAAAATGCTCATAAGATCAGACAGCCAAGCAGCTATTAACGCATTGGCATGTAAAATAATTACATCAAAACTAGTCAGTGAATGTATCCAAAATCTCCAAAACCTGGGAAAGCACAACAACCTAATGATATCTTGGGTGCCAGGGCACAGGGGAATTTTGGGTAACGAGAAAGCAGACAGACTGGCCAGAGGAGGATCTGCAAGACCATACATAGGCCCCGAACCTATCCTTGGGATAACAAAAACAAACATAGAATCTTCCATCGCAGAATGGATCCAAATAAAACAAAGAGAGAAGTGGATAAACTCTAGCGGTGCTAGACATAGTAAACTTATGATGAAACAACCCTCACCAAAATTGGCAAAAACACTGCTGCAATTGGAGAGGGCAAAACTCAGAGGAGTGGTGGGACTAATAACCGGTCACTGGTATCTTAGAAAACATCTACACAACATGGGTATATACAATGATGATCCCATTTGCAGAGTATGTAATGAGGAGGAGGAAACAGCCACTCATATCATCTTCGAATGCGAAGCAACAGCTCAATGGAGGTTTAACCCAACGTACGAAAAAGACTCAGGGAACCGAATTGCAGCAATAACAGTCAATGACCTGATACTTCTGAGAAGGATTGAGCCTATTGACTAAACTAGGGAACTGGGAAGGTACAATAAGCCAGAAGGCTGCAGTGCCTGGGGAATACAAGCCCCGCTTCCCAGTATCCTTTCCACCATACCATACCATACCAATATGTATGCTATGTCGGTATTCTTGAATACTAGCCTTTCATTTGTAACTCAGGAAGTCATCTACAGAATAGACACAAAACATAAATACATACCCACTCTGTACAAACATAGAAGTCTGGTACATTCATTCTCAAGAGTACTCGATATTCCTCAGGGCGGGTTAAACGATTAAGAGTTAAACCCTTTCCTTTCACGCTAATAAATTACATTCATTTCAATAAATTAAAATAAGCACAACACCCGATACATGTCAAGTCGCATCCATTTCCCTAGAGTACTCGATATTCCTCGGGGCAGGGATAAACGATCCCTTTCTCTCAAGCTAATAAATTACATTCATTCCAATAAATTAACATAAGCACAACACCCGATACATGTCTGGTCACAATTATTTCCCCAGAGTACTCGATATTCTTCGGGGCGGACGGGATTACCACATACTTTTGACCAGTGTTGTCTCAGAGCGTAGAAATATATAATACATATAAATACATCTCCACAAATAGAAGTCGGCCGACATTCACTCCCACCCAGAGTACTCGATATTCCTCGGGGCGGGGTTTAACAACTCCTTCCTTTCACGCTAATAAATTACAATCATTCCAGTAAATTAACTTAAACACGCCGCCGCTGTGTCCATGACTACGCGCAGGCCCGATGATATGCCAAAATATTGTCTATATATGTCAAGCTTTCTACAACTGAAAAGGTGCTCGACCCTTTAGAATATTTTCTATGATGACCAGGATGATTTGAAACGACGTTCGTCACCCAGTAAAATTTAAGAATCATGTACATTCATAAGAATTGCGAGTTCTATGCCATATGCTATCTTAATCTCGCCCCCCTTTTCTCTCATTCTAACTTTATTTTATCTCCATCTCTAATGCTTGTGCAGACAAGTATCATAATCAGTGATGCATTTAATCATTATTGAACCTTTCGGTAACTTGATGTTTGCAAACTGTTTTTAGTACAGCTTCAAGATAGGAAACATTTCAAATGGAAAGGACGTTTCATGGCTCGCTTTCACACAAGACTCGTTTTCAAAATTCGTCCTGTCACCACAATCTGTCAGGTGCTATTATGACAGTAAACGTTCTCTATTCATGACAAACCTAATAGCAATAACCAGCTCGCTAAGGCTTTTACGTTCCATAGAATATAAAATGGTATTTTTTCATCCATTCCATGTTGTCAAAGAAGAAAAGGGTTAGCACAATTACACTGCCTTCTATATAAATTTCCGTACAATAAACTTTGAAGAACCATGTTTGAATTTAGCCCCGTTTGCATCATGATTTTTTTTCTGTGGGTGCTGTATAAAGCTAAATCTTTGTGAATACGTCTTCAACATCACCTTTTTTTCTTACCAATCAAGTGATTATATAAAAGACTGCAAACAAATGTAGCGGGACTAACAGGATAAGCGTCCGAGCATAAAACGTTGCCCAGCTCTTCCTTCTTCGGGCTTTATCATATCAGTTCCATGGCTCGCTTTCTCCGGCTCCGGAAACACGAGAAAAAAACTGTTGCAGCCGCGTCGTGCGAAGCAGAGAAAGGCAAGGCCAGTCTGCATAACCGCCTGTAAATAATTCCTAGGCCGCCCTGGAGCTCTTCTGTGGGGCGCCGACGGAAGGAGGAGAAAGGCTGAAGAGATAGAATAAACTAGAAAACTGCATCGATTCCGGTATTGTTCGAGACATTCCGATATAGCTTCACGCAACGTTAATTTTACCTACAATGCTACTAGATAACTGATACGGTAGCATTGTCGATTTTGGCCACGGGAAAACCTGGTGAAACTCGTACTTTCAACACCGAGATACCTATCGAAAGATTCCGACGATTGACTAGAAATAACCACTACTAATGTTTGCAAAAAATCCTAGCTATAGAAGTGAAGTATAAATTACAATAGTTATAATTTATCTTGCGGAACTAATAATGAGTACTTTTTCTCTAAAAACATTTTGTAAGGCAGTCTTTCTACCTTCAACTCTTGCTCATTGCTACAAAATTGATCAATGTTTTATTTTTTCCGCAAAATACAATTCAGTAGTCAATTTTCCAGTTTTATGAACAAATGCGTAACCAATTAATTACTTATTTTGAATCAGACATGTCTGTTTTCGTTTGTTTCAAGATTGGATAGATAGCCTTTTAAGGAAGTTTATAGATAAAGATCTACCAGGACGTGAAATGACCTTAGTGCCAAAATGTCTCTCAAATAAAATAATAATAGTAATAAGAACAGTAGGAAATGGAACAGCTGATTTATTGCCTGTGAATTATGTGAAACCATGGTGTGCTGAAGAGTTTCTGGCCAGACGATATGTTATTATTTATGCGCGATAATGTAACGAAATAAAGAAATCGAGTCAGTTCTGGCAAAAGAATACATTTTAACAAACGTAAAATGATCAGGGAACCATCAAACCTTGAAGTTTGTGCTTGAGTGAGAATAGGTCACATAAGAGTTTTGAAATAAAAGTTATTTTTTTTATCTGATGGGTAAATATGTTTCTTTATCAGTCTAATTTGAACTGTGATTCTTACAAATGATCGGATATGGCAGATAAAAGCAAAGTAAAACCGCATGGGAAATATTTATAAAATAGAGGTTTCTTGTGAGATTTGTTCCTGTGATCTAGGTGATGGGCCTGGTATATAGTTCGTCCGTTCCTGATATTTAATCAGGCATGCTTAGGGTTTTGTCGTCATCAGTGTTGGGTTTGTTATCATTTGTCATCATAATGGAGAAATTATTATTTTTTTTTAATGTAAGGTCTTAGTTTAGATGAAAAAGTTAGGGTCACGAGGGGGATTGGAACACACGATCATTGGCTGGGGGGGGGGTTCGAATCCCGCTCGTGAAACTAACATTTTCACCTCAACCAAAACCTTACATGAAAATAATAATAATTGAAGTAAGTAATTTAGTCAATTAGACCACTAAACATAAATGGATTAGTATATAATAGGGAAATTTGAACGCATCTGAAAAAACCAACAAAACTTCGAAAAACCAAGAACCGACCTGTACGATTTTTCTATGAAATGTATTACTTTGCTTATATATTTTAAGATGATAAAATAATTTTTTAAACAACATTATGATTCGATTTATATAACAAAGATACCACAAATGACAGTCAATCGAACCCGGATCTGCTGTTGTGACCGTGGGCGGTTTTTCATTACGACGCCAAGTTTTATTATTTTCTATTCAATTCAAGGATTCAGCTTTATTTATTACAAATTTAAAAAACGATGAATAAAGAAATTTTTATTATTGTAAAAACGTAATGTTTGGAATTTTGCAGTCGGTCAAATTTCACTTTCAGACCGACTGGCTCAGTCAGTTGTGTAATTCGAACCTCGTCCGACCAGGTTGTTTCAGAAGGTCGGTGGTTTTAGGGAGCAGACGTAAAAGTTACAAAAGAAAAAATCCAAGACGGTCAAGAATATAAAATGTCTTTTTAACGTTTTCCGTTTCTGAAACTTTGTCGCCAAGGAGAACGGCCTCCTCGCCTTTTCAGATATAAAAATTAAATATTTTTTCACTCTTTTTTTCAGAATTGGATTATGCGGCTTTGATAATCCGATGCGAGACCCGAAGACAGAAGAGCTGAAGAAGCACATAGGACACGTAAGTTTCTACAATATTCTTTGCTTTTCCCTATTTGCATTTTTACAGTGCCACTGACTTCTGGCACCGCAACGAATAAGGAAGAACAAGGTTTTCGCCACGCCCAGAGAAATTTTAAAAAGTATCAAGTAGGGTTTTTCCATTCAGCGATAAAAACTGTCAACGCTTTCTTAAACTCAAATTACAAATAATTAATGTTTTTAGTTGAGATAAAAAAAAGTCAATGGCACGAGCGGGATTCGGGAGTCCGAGTGGATCGAGTTCACGATAGCTCAAGTGGTAGAGCTGCGGCGTTTCAAGCCGAAGATCGTGGGTTCGAATCCCGCTAGTGCCATTGACTTTTTTATCTCAACTAAAAACCTTAATTAATTGTGTGATATGAATTGGTCAAGCGGACCACGAAACTAGGGAATCAAATTACAAACATCATCCAAAGGCATCCGGTACAAGATAAAAAGTAAATTGTTTAAGGTTAGATTTAACGACCATTCGATTATGCCATGTTCTAAATCTATCCTAAAGTTTAAAATTTTTCAAAACTCCCTGGTGTCGGGTTTTTTTAACTACTCGAAACAAGTGCTATTTGTCGAGACCTTCGACCTGTCGCGCGACGTCGGTCACAGGCGAACGGCTTTGATTTCATGCGATACGTGCTCCATTGGGGAAGGACAAAGCTGAGCCGATGGGTCAACATTCAACTGTAGAAAAGACGTCGGATAATCCGATTCGTTCTGGTCGCTGCAAGAACGTGAAGATCGACCCCGGGGAGATGGTTAATTGCATCTCCGGAGGGCAGTAGTTGGCCTTTTGCACGGCCGGTACACGGCAGCCCATTGCCATCCGTCGTGGAACAAATCACCTCGGAAACACCTTTTATAACATATTAATCTTTTTTATCTTTAACTTTTAACTGATCAAATCGTTTTTAAAAGCTGAGATTTGGAATAATGCATGAACTTAACAAAATAATAGTGTGTGTTGTAATGATTTTATAACTTTTATGGTTGAAATAATATTCAATTAATAAACATTTTTCTTTTTGTAATTACATGACATCAACCTTCTTTTAGCAAAATATTTACATAAATAATATAGAATATTTCTTCAATCAGTCGTTTTAACGATAACTAGCATACAAATTATATATTTCAATTAATTAATCTTTTTATGTAAGGTTTTGGTTGAAATGAAAAAGCTAGCGTCACGAGCGGGATTGGAACCCATGACCTTCGGCTCAATACGCCGCTGCTCTAGCATTGGAGCTATCGTGACCATATCACCAACTCCCCATCTCAACCTACAACCTTTCGAATTTTCCCTCCCTAATTTTCAAATGTCGTGTAATCAGGATTCGACTCTCGGCGACATTTGAAGTGGCCGCGGGGTGCTGTTAATGAAGTTATACTTCGTTTTACTTATTAAATCCATTATATTTAATAGTCTGATTGACCATATTACTTCTTTCAATTAATTATTCTATTTATGTAAGGTTTTGGTTTAAATGAAAAAGCTGTGGGTTGGGATGGGTAGATGGTATCCGAGCGGATCGAAGTCACATAGATCTAGTGGTTAGAGCAGAGCCTTATTGAGCCGAAGGTCGTGGGTTCGAATCCCGCGCGTGACACTACCTTTTTCATTTCAACCAAAACCTTACATAAAAAGATTAATTAATTGAAAAAAGTAATTGGGTCCATCAGACCACTAAATATAATGAATTTATTAAAAATTATTTAAAAATTATATTTTAACATAAAATACATTTTACAATCCGGTTTATAAATTTCTGTAGAGCAGATGCATTGCAGAGTTCAGAAATTAAAAAAAAAGTAAACGCTTGTCCGCATCTTTTTTTAAGGTCAACAACTTAAGAATCTTGAACAATAAAATTTGTCTAAAAAATTTAGCTTAACGGCGAATTCTTTCTCGATACTTGGTCATCCTAACTGGTTTATAACAAGACATTTTTTTCGCATCTTAATCTCCTAGGGTGAAAAGTATGAATTATAAATAATTTTAACATAATTTTTATGTTATTGTATTTTCAATATAAAAAATTAGACTATTTCAAAATAATTTACCTTTATTAGTGACATGCATAAAAATACATAAACAGTCTCGTTTCTGGGTGCACTTTATCCAAGAAAATAAAATACACCCAGGAATAAAAAACAGAATGAATTCGCGCACGCGCACAAATGCTAAATTAACAAATATACAAATACTGCAAACAAATAAGAATTCAGACACTTGAAATACAACTCAAAAGAACAGAAACAAACAAGAAAAAACATTCAACCAACAGGCCAAAAAATTACCTCTGTAAACTAATTTCATGGTCATTTATATTAATTGTGTTTTGGAAGAATTAATACATCTTGAACCCTAGTGATAAATTATCATACAAGAGGAAATCTGTTTGCTAATAGAAAAAATAATTCATGTAAATATAATTACACATTGTAACCAGGACAATTAAATCCTGTTAATCCGTAAATCCGATTATTATGGGCATGGGCGCCAGCAACGATTGAAAAGAACGCTCCACTCAGATCAAATAAAATGTTTAAAATTAATGAGTGCTGCTTTGTGCACCTCAAAACCATTTCAAATTGTTTATTTGCACTAAAAGTAAAACTGTACATAAGTATATAATTGTTGACTTTTTAATAAAGTGCGGATATTCATTGAAAACCTGCCGAAGTGTCATATTTATCAATTTTATTTGTCATTGACTTTGAGGGTATCAATACTTGATTTTGATCAATGTAAATATTCCGAAAATAATTTTAAAATCACAGCATAATTTTTCGCTTTTTAATATATGGTTTTAAAAAAATCACAAAAGATATTTAAATAATAAGCAAAGAATATAATTACTACAAGGGCAACAATTTTTGCTTTTGTTGTTGTTTTGAAGTCTCCTCTCCTGAATTTTATGCCTAGCTCAATTTATTTTGTTTTTCACCGTTGGCAGCTTTGTTTTCAATGAACTTATTGAGCAATAATTTTGAGAAGAAATAACTTGAGAAAAATGTAACTCGCTTTTGTCTCATTTGGCTCTTTTGGTAACTTTTGGCCCAAGATAAACCTCCGTGTTCTTCCAAAACATGTAATAACTCTGCGATCTCTTCAGTAAGGACCCGACGTTCATTGAATCTTATACCTTTGATTAAAAGTCAAAGTTTCTGCTTAAAGTATTAGATGTATCGTTTTCTTTTTTCACGAATAATTTGCATCATGTATCTCTTGATGAAAAAGTACAGCCCTTCGCAATGTTGGGTCTGTTTCAAAGAAATTTGAAATCTTCTATTAACAACTTAATTATGTCAATTTTTAGACACAGTTAAGATTGTTTTGCTCTGGTGATGACCTTAATAGGTTGAAAGCTTGGCAGTAACGATTGAATTTGATTTTTTATCAAGACCATACCGTGATCAGATTATTCGAAAGTCAATACATACAACAGCGTATGGCGCGGAAAACCGCTGAGAGGAACAGACTGTCAAGAAATAAAAATTGGCGGATTAAAGTAAAGGTAGAGAGATAGTTACTCGTGAGGTACCTAAAGGACACCTAGTTAGTAGGATTGGATAGAGGGATATTGTTCGGTATAAAAAAAATTATGTAAAAGTTTTATGAAGTACCACTCCGCGTGTGCAGCAGATTATACCTTACAATTCGTATTTACCGTATACAATCCCAGTTATTGGTAAGAATTACGCATATTTTGTACCTATTTATTCAAAAAAAAATAGTGTTTTTTAGTTGGAGTTTTCACTTCGTTAGAAGGTTCATTTGGTTATGTTATTTACATTTATACTTATTTCATTACATGAACCTACATTATTATTTGTTCAATGTCAAATTGACTTTGTGGTATTTGTATTAAATTGAAATTTATATCTATTTTATTCTCGATAATGCGTAATCGCTATATTTTGAAATATCTGATTTCTTATTAACCTAACTTCCTTGTCACTACAAGTTATTGGGATTGTACTGTCTTCCAAATGTATATAAGCACTATTTTTTCGACTTAAGGTTTATTTATCAGAATTTCATTTAATTTAAGAAATTTAAAAAATTTACAACTTACAACTGTTGAGCATGATTATTTATATTTTATGGCTATACGTGCTCATGCATTTCACATATCACAGACTAATAAACCATGAGACGTTTCTTGCATAAAGTGAGTACCGATCCGATAAGAGAGTTCGTGTGAACCGCCGTGAGGTTAAACTGACCTAAGATGTAGCGCGATGGTATCTGGAGTACGAGGGTGATGGCATATCTCGTATTTTATTATTTGTTTGTGTTTTAGGGCGTGAAAGTCAAAATGGACGACCAAGGCAACATCTTAGTCAAACGTGTGTCCAAGTGCAACGTCTACGTGAAGAGCACGAGCAGCGGCGAAGAGACGAGCATCGGAGCCGACGTGCTCAAGCTGCCCAACTGCGCACTCGAGACAGACAAGCCAGTCAAGGTCAGTATGCAGTTTTCTCCAGCAGCCTTACTTTCCTTATGTTCCTTTGGGGATCGCAACGGGGTCTGGGTCTGCGATTATGCGTACAATGGGACTTTCTCTCCGTTCCGTTTATGATCTCGTCGTAGGTCTCGAAAGAAAAAGAGGTCATTTGCATTTAACAATCGAATGACACGCCCGGGTGTTTTATCGCCCCTCGAGCGAGGCGTTATAAATAAACCTCGGGTTGACAATTTACACCTTTTTTTAGTCCACAGTAACCACTGGGCTATTTCACCTTTTCAACTAGCTCATTAAATCTGTCTCATACATCATCGTCTACTTTGCAAAACGAGCAAAACCAAGAGTGCGTAACGCCGGTAGCTGTACCTGCTGATTGCTTAACTTAAATAACAATTTGTAGGCTGGTCGTTTCCGATCAGGCAAGTCGCCTATTCATTATTTTAGCGAGTTAGACCAGTTACAAACCGTCTGGCATGAAAAACTAGTTATATTATAAAATCTTTAAGATATATAGAAATAAATTACAAAATCAAATGAAATTACACTCAAAAACTATGACGTAATCTTTGTGTTTCAGTTAGTTTTCAATTTGGCATAATTTCACTTTTGGGAATACCAGATTTGAAAGCAATCAAACGTAGGCCATTATTTTGGACCGTTAGAAGTCTAGAGATGAAGGTAATATTGTAGGGAGACCAAATATGGAAACAATACTCAAAATAGATTTAACTAATTGGTAATAAAAATAATTCAATTAGTTAAGGTTTTTAGTTGAGATAGAAAAGTCAGTGTCACGAGCGGGGTTCGAACCCACGTCCTTCGCGACTAGATACGCCGCTACTCTACCATTTGAGCTATCGTGACATCGATCCATTCGGACACTAACTTCCCATATCAACCACACCTCTCGAATTTTCCCTCCTTTCTGCCATTTTTCAAATGACGTGTAATCGATTTTATTCTCGGCGACAAATGAAATGGCCACGGAGAGCTTTCGTGAAGATATACTTCATTTTAACTTATTAAATTCACTAGTTTTCGAGGTCTGCTTGACCAATTAATATCTTTCAATTAATTAAGGTTTTTAGTTGAGATGAAAAATGGCAAAAAGGAGGGAAAATTCAAAAGGTGAGGTTGAGATGGCAAGTTAATGTCCGAGTGGATCGAATTCACGACCAAACTGACAAACAACCAAAGTTTTGCATTTTACAATAAAATAGTGTGATACAATATGTAAATAATTGTACGAAGTTAAATTCACTAGTTTTCGCGTTCCGCTTGACCAATTAAATTCTTACAATTAATTAAGGTTTTCAGTACTGCTGAGCTATCCTGACTCCGATCCACTCGGACACTAACTTCCCATCTCAAGTGGTAGAGTAGCGGCGTATCTAGCCGAAGGTCGTGGGTTCGAATCCCGCTCGTGTCACTGACTTTTTTACTTCAAGTAAAAACCTTAATTAATTGAAAGATATTATCAAGTCGACCACGAAAACTAGTGAATTTAATAAAAATAATTGAACAAGGAATATTTTAGTTAACTCTTCAGAGTAAAAAAGACCAACGAGCTAAAGCCGGGACATCCCCTCTGGACCTAACCACCGCGATTCGGCTCTTGACGCTAAAAATACGCTAAAAAACATTAAACGAAATGGAATGGTCGGTGGGCTGAATCGACGGAAAATCTCTTGTAAATCAAGAGCACTGTCGATAGATGACCCTCAGAGGACCTGTTTCGTATAAGAAGGGATATCCTCACCCGATTAACACTAGGCCGTGTGAGGATGACACAAGGACGCGTTCTACTAGGTCAAAGCCCGCGTATGTGTCCGGCATGCGGAGAAACGTTGCTCGTTTATGCTCCACTTAATTGAAGGGTGCCATTATTTGGTTCCATAGAGAGAATGGCTAGGAATACCACCCGATATGAGACTAGTTTATGAGCAAGGCAGCGAATCTTTGGGTCCACTGTTCCGATTCTTGAAAGAAACAGAATTGTTTTGTTGTATGCAGTACTGATAGTTATGTTAGCGAGTTTTGAAAGTGTATTTATTTCTTGTCGTGAAGTTGAAGCCTGAGAGGGCCAATGGCGGAATATTTGAGTACCCCCATCGACCTTCCATTAGGTTAGTTAAATAGTACTACTCAGTGAAGATTCGTCTGAAGATGACAATCATCAACAGATTTTATAACATAAAAAAATAATATTTAACATTACAGAATTGCTTAAAATACTATTATGTTTTTAACATAATAAAACTAAAACTCAGACCTGCCGATAAAGACGTTTCGTCTGCTTTTGACATATTAACGAAGCAAGGAAACGACCGAACTCCAGGTTCATTACGCCACAGATTTTCAACAAATAACCTAATATAATAATAATAATAATAATAATCACCAATGTAGAACGGACATCTACCTTAATATAATAATCTTTTAAATATAATTACATCTACCATATTACATTGCCCCTACTAGTTTTCTTAAATTCTTGAGTTTTCACAAAATCGTCAAAACAGTTTTAACGTTCCCTTTCAGTTATTCTATCTACATTAATTCACATTTTGTTTTTGATTTTTTCGGATCATTATTTTTTTCTATTCTATACAAATTACACCAGATAATATCATGGCCATGATAATTTCATCCTTCATATAGATAAGTCTAATTGATAAAAGCGGGACTTGGATCACCATCAGACAAGTTATTTTACAAAGGATATATTATGATATTTAATAGGTGCAAACGACGTTAGATCGAAACGATTGGACATGGTTTAAGTTAGGTCGCTTTGACGTACTCTAGAGTTCCAGCCGATAAATCCAGAAACGAACCATCTTGAACCTTGAAGAGCTTTTTTTTCTAAATTCATTCACTTTCTCTTCGTAGTAGCTAGGATTGAAGTATCTATTATAAATATAATGCATGTTGCTATAATTGGCTCTTAAATATTCAAAATTACTAAAGATAATATACGTCATACACACAGAAGAAAATTTATGGAGTTTTATGAACAATGAGTGTCTAGAATCGATTTGTCTTGAAAAACAAAATTCACCTTAAAAGAATGTTCCGTTATTCTTTAGTCAGAAGTTAAATTGTCCCTAAATTTATTGTCATACTTACATAACAATACTCAAAAATTCACACATAAGCATGAGAAAAAATATCACTCTATAAATTACACTAAAATCTATGAAAAATATTAGACTGAAAATTATTCTTTAATTTTTTAGGCCTTTTTGACGGTAGAATTTTAATTGAAAGAATTAATTTTTTTCAGTGTACAGCAACTTGTGCCATTTTCAGAAATATTTCTAAAAGAATCTTAAATTCTATAATTGTTTTAACAAAATATATTTTCTAGTTGACGTAGATCGACCTACGTAGTTTAAACTGATGTTGTACTGGATATGTAATGACCTCAAGAAGATCCAATACAACATCAAAATATATTTTGTTGAAAACACGATTTGCCAAAAAAAAGTTGCTGTTGTTTCAAAGAAAAAAAGTTTCCTTTAAAAACCTCCAGCCATTTTTGATAAATCATGTTTTTTAACAAAGTTTATTTTGTTAAAACTATTATTAAGAATTTAAATTGTCTTAAGAAAGAAAATTCTTGAAAATGACAAAAGTTGAAGAAACGTTAAGAAAAATTTTTTTCAAAAGGAAATTAATTCACTACTTTCGTTGTCCGCTTGACCAATTAATACATGACAATTAATTAAGGTTTTTAGTTGAGATGAAAAAAAGTTAATGGCACGAGAGGGATTCGAACCCACGACCTTCGGCTAGATACGCCGCTGCTCTAACGAATCCCTCTCGTGCCATTAACTTTTTTTCCTCTCAACTAAAAACCTTAATTGTTAAGAAAAATGTATTTTTTTATTTAAATTCTACCTGCAAATAGCCTAAAAATGAAAGAATAATATTTTCATCCATACAAAGAAAGAAGGACAAGAGCAACAAAGAAAGAATAATTAAAACTTTTGAATTATAATTAACTTGATCGTTTTAGAAAACACTCATAGTTTACTAGACTTAAAAACGATTTAAACTCTCTAAAAAAATAACGTTGTTATTCTTTTGTTGGCGGTTTCATTGTCCCTGATCATCCTGGTCCGATTATTCTCGCTGTATTTTTCGGTTCGGTGCGTTGCGGCGTTTCAATGAAGATCAGTTGAGCCAGTTTCGCTCAGTTTTGTAATTCTCTGTCTACAAGACGGATTAATTTTCAACCCACACTTAACGTTCTTTTTAATATTACACATCGTTTTAACATGACAAAATTTATTTATTTTTTACAACAATAATTTTCTCTTGGTTTCGCCAATAATAATACATAATTCTTCTCGTCTCTTGGGCGTCCCTTTCACTTGTAGACTGCTGTGAATTTCCTACAACCTTCAGTGAACGGGTAATAGGCTCGTGCGGTTGGTTCTTGTGGTCGTAGGGCTGTAAATTGATAAGGGAGCTTTTTTCAAATCCTCTACCTTCAATTTGCTCTTGGCTGAATTTCTCATTACCTTTAAGAACAGTTTTTGTAAGTCGATTTATCAGAAGGTTGTGAGAATGTTATTTTAGATTTGGACGATGTATCTAACAACAATAGACACGTGATTCTAATTATGATAACATAGATTTTGGATTGCAGAGAAAATCCAAATCTTTTTAGTTCGAAAGGCATTGTCTTTTAATTGGCACACTATATTTGATATATGCCGTAAATTTCATATTTTATCGATTATACTAAAAAAAATTTATAACGAAAATGGTTGTATAACCCAAACTGGAAGTAATTACAGTAGTTCAACATTTCGTAATAAATTACCCAGGATGTCGTGGAAGAAATCAATTTATCCTTTATAAGAAAAAAAAACATTTTTAATAGCAAAATCCACAAACAACCAATTATGATATTGAGTGTGATTAAACATTTCTGGTTATTTAGTAATAATCTGTGTGTGAATAAAATAAATATGAAATATCAGAAAAATCTTCGTTAAAAAATACACAACCTGTACTGTTCGAACATTGTTTCAAGTCCCGAACTTTATCGATGAACTTATTGCCTGAAGGCGCGATAAACCTGATTGATTTATTGGACTATAACCAAGCCTCTCACATATCTTTCGTTGTAACAAAAAAACTCATTTATGCAAAGGCTGCGATAGCCAAATTTCTTCAAAACAATATTAGCTCCTCAGGGCGAAATACTTCCTAACAATAAATGACATGAAAAATTGCAGCAAGTGCTGCTCGGCTGGGCATAATGTTCTGCGTTGAAAATGAAAGTTGTAACAAAGCGACGCATCTCGGATCGGAAGAGTTAATGAAGCCGTGTTTGCCCAATAGCATTTGCATTATTTATCATTTAAAAAATCCATTGTATTCCGATTCCTTATTAAAATTAGACCGTTCTTTGAATCCAAATCGGGGCACACCTAATGAAAACTTCCCAGTCGATAAATGACACCTTTTCTTCCGGGCCAGAAATTCCTTGGCAAGTGTGTCGTACATTTTTATCTTGGGAAAACATTCAGATTCCAATAGAATCGGTTATGATGCTGAGAATATTTAAATGATCGCCGTCAGACCGAATCGAGATCTAAATTTTTTGATAGTGTTTTGAAGTTTCGACGCCAACGCGTTGAACCAATTCAGATTTTTTAATCGGAAAAGTTTGGGGATTCGGTCAGATCGGGCAGACTCGTTCGTAAACAGTTTCACGGCGAGCCTGCAACAATAGGTGTGATAGTGAAATTAAGTGAAAGGGGAAACAGTTATTGTTACGTCAAACGTGAGTCCTGGGAGCTGTGATTACCCAGGTTACCATTAGTCATTTTCCATTCTTCTCAGTTAGGAGGTCCCGTAATAAAAAAATTGATTGTATCACGTGACTCTTATCAATAAAAACCGAATGTGGCCAGGAAGAAATGACTTGTTTCCTCCCCAGGTTTTAAAACCATCACGGGCATTGTTTTCTCCTACTTCTTTTTATAATCAAGGATTCCATTCATTATCCTAAAGTACAGAAATCGCTCCTTAGGCTTTTAAACAGTCTTATCAATTTTCCCAATCGGAAAAACAATTCCGGTGATTATTTACCAACGAAATGATTGTAAAATGTGATTTCTTAAGCCGGAGATCTGCAATCTGGTGCCAGTTCAATGTCAACCGTTAATGACCGAACATTTTAATGGTGAGCCATGTGGGAGACAATGGTTGAAGGACTCTTCGAGAGCCGGTGGGTGTCTTTGCGCAAGACAGAACATCTCGAGTCGACTATTTGGCTTTTCCGGAAAAACAAACATGAGTGGGCTCGAGTGAGCACGACTGACGGACATTAAAAAGATAGAAAAATAAAGTAGTCGACATAATGTCGCTGGGTTTAAGGTACTAGATTTAACATCTCGGAGTCAGAAACCGATAAAAAGAAAAGGAAAGTAACGGAGGTGAGAAAGGGAAAAGGATGAAAGGCCAACGTGCAACGGTTAGGGTGTGAGGTTCTTAACCCACTAACGGTAGGCTCGTCATTTGAATCGACTCGTCCCTCGACCTTCACCTCCGATCCCAAGAAATCCCATATAATCAGCTAAAAAACGTGCGGATTGTCGGGTACTTAAGGCAATTAAGTTAGAAAAGTGCATTAACCTGTCTTCTTTCTTTTTTTTTTCAGCTCTTCGATATGAAGAAATTCCAAGCCAACGTATCAAGAGAGTTGAGGCGCGCGTATCCGGACCGAAGGCGTCTGGAATGCCAGTGCCTGAGCGCTTTGGCGTTCGTCAAATCCGACCCGGACCTCCTGGAATGCCCGATCTGGGTGCTTATCATCAACGTCGTCGCCATGGACATGCTCAAATCTAAGCTGCCTCCAGGTAATTGTCCGTCGTAGTTTTCCCTTACCTGAAATAACCTATTAAATGCATGTTAAACAGACCTTGGTACAAGAGGCGACAAAGGCTATTAACCCGTGGGTCCTTTGTATCCCTGAGGGGCTACCTCAACTACAATACCGTCTATCCTCGTGGTTAATCAATCTTGGTCCACCCATTGACACAATGTTACAATTTTTCCTTTCAATGCATAAGCTTTTTTTTGCTCTCGTTCCGACCAGTAACAATGCACGTTGTAATCGAACTACTACTCTAAATTTTCTAATTTATGTAGCTACATGTGACAAAGTACTAGTTAAACTAAATTTTGAAGTTGAAGTCTTAAAATAGTATCCTGACATTATAGAAGTATGAAAACTGGCAGTACCTTTATGTTTATCACACTTTTTATTTTTCTTACCTTTTGAAGTGAAAAAATGTATTTCTGTCCTAGTTGAATTGAATGAAATAAAATTTGTTCTTGCCAACCACAGATGACAAAACACATGGCTAATATTAAAAAACAAACTAAACTAGCTAAAGTCAAATAAAAAATTCACTACTGTTAAGAAAAGTAACAATATATTTTCCAAAACATAAAAAGCCGAAAAGTAAAACTAATAATTTTGATAAGCCGAAACAAGAATTTTAAAATAAGACGAGAATTTGCATTATTTTTAGGAAAAAAAATTTAGAACCAAATTGCCGAAAGGGAGAAAAAATAATCTGAAAAATTTAGAGCCTAAAGGGGATAATTTCAAAACGAAGAATTTTGGCGATCTTTAGATTTTTTTGTAGGGGGTTTTTGTAGTCTTTATTGTCCAGAGTTGGCCGGTGACATCTGATTTAGAGGCGGTTGAGGTCAATTTCAAAACTTCACTGGCAGCCGGTCGTCCGATTTCCGTCCTCAGAACAATCGAAGGGTTTTCGAAAAAGCCGCAAGCACTGAATTCCAATATGCTTCCAAGGACTACTGTGCACCCGGTGGGCGCACCTCACCTTACATCATCTCGATCATTTTTGATATTTTTACTCACAACCTGAAAAACGTTAATGGTTTACTTACCGACTAATTATTGTTATCGATTAATACTTACAAATAAATTTCATGACTGACGTGCTCTGAAGGGACGACCAACTAAATCAGGACTGACATGAAGGGGGCGCACCCCAACCAGTGTGAGGTGGACATGCTCTCCAGAGCAAGCCTTGGAAGTGACCTCTTCGCTGGGTCGTGACACACTGACCGATCTCAAATCATGGTTACAAATCATATGTTTAATTACACGCTCATTTGTTTTCGCTCAACCGACAGAAATGTGTATATCATTTGAAATAGGTGGAGAAAAATAAATTCCCTTTCACTCAAGTGACAGTGATTTTTCTCCTAGTTCTATTTTATAATTCGGTTTTAAATGATTTTCCATGTATTTTCCTGAACATTCCAAGTAAAACACACAAAAAACATATGACTTTGATCATCCATTTAAATTTAAATTTAATAATAATTATTTACGCGCCTTAAATTGTTAAAGACAAAGTAAATCTTATTTTTCTCTAAGGCAAAGTAAATCTTATTTTTCTCTATCTTTTTACATTTTTCTTCTTTTTTTTTTTTAAATTCCCTTTACAAATGAATCAGAAGATTCAAAACTTTACAAAGTAAAGATTGCTATTTTTGTTTACTGGGATATATCATGACTTTTCCTTGATTTTTAAATTGTGTTTGTTTATATATTTCTGATTGTTTACTAAACGTGTTTTAGCTCATTAATAAATTTCAAGAATGAAATGATACAAAAGTTAAAGTATTAGAATTAATAAAAATTACTAAAAAGCAAATCTGAAGGGAAATAATATATTTCAACCAAAATGGTATCTTCACAATAATTTGTCGCAGATCAACACCTAATAGTTCAATATTTCTTCTTTTATGTTGGAATATGACTTTCAACTAATTGAGAGTATAATTAGTCTATAGTAATTAGTATAATTAGATGGCCTGTAATCGGCTATTCACGCTAATAAATACATTCAGTCGAATTGCTAGCCAAAGAAACACATGGACTGCATAACAAATATTTCAATGGTGCTACAGTAATAACAGTACCAAGTTTCTAATAAGATCAACTCAAACTTACTTACAAAACAGAGATCTACAAATTAGTCCCTAAGATGGGTAGGTCGTGAGGGAATGTTATTGAACTGGGCAGCAGATATACTAGCTTAAAGGTGAGGGTCAGAACAACACATAGATGCAAATTCATATTATGACTTATATTATAGCCACATTATAAAATAAATTTGGAATCTTGGGTATAACAAACAAAAAAAATTCTGGGAACGTGGCTCCTAAGGTCTCGCTTTTGCTTAAAAGGACTAATCTTAAAACAACCCAATGATAGAAAGAGGAAATCCTACTCAACAGAATATAATTAAAATCACAAACATGTATATTTACAGAACACGCTCCAGTAAAATACCACTTAAAAATGGGACTATTAAAACATGACCAATGTCGACTATGTCTAAATCAGACAGACATAGAACCCTCTGCAACTCCCCTCCAATTGCTAGGAAAAGTCTAAGATTAGGAAAACCATTCTTGTACAATATAGACCAAGAATCCTAGATGAGAATAATTCTGTACTTATTAAATAAATCATTATAGAAGGTCGGACATAATAGTTTAAATACGATCTCAAATGAGAAAAAAGTATATAATTTAAACATCTATTATGTAGGTAAATCACGAGAATCTCCTCCATCTTTGTTAGCATATCATTTTTCAACCTAATAATAAATAAATAAACCTTTTTATTTCCTCTAGTACGTAATAATTTTCTTTTATAATATTATAATGATGTATGGTTGTAACTACTATTGAAATTATCTTCTCTTCTTTTTCTTTAACTTCTTCCCTTTCTCGGTGGAAGAGGAAACTATGCCCATTTAAGGGCAAAGTACTCTTCCAAGTTTTTCTTCTTGTCTCTGGCGATGTTTTCCCAGAGCTTCTCGGCGTGTTGGATCAACTCATCTTCTCTTGTCTACCCTGTTTTCGCGTTCCGTCCTATGGGATCCAATCAGTTCTTCGTGACAGATGGACATCTGTCATCACTAAGCCTCGCAACATGACCTGCCTACTGCCATTTTAATTTCGTGACGGTTTCTATTACGTCTTATATTACGTTTGTTTGCTTCCGTATTTCTTTATCTCTAATTTTCTGTCTTCTACTTGTAGACAACATACTCCTTGCATGGCCCTTTAGATTGTTCTTAATATACTGATGAGTTTCTGAGAGATGGGCCGTGATTAAGCTATATATGTAATACATGGCAAAACACATGTGTTGAAAGCCGGGGTTTTTATCTCTCTAGGCCAGTTACTTTTAAAAATAAATTTCAACGTCCAGTATTTTCTCCATGCTTGGTAATGCGCTTATTTATTTCACAAGACATCTTGTCTGTGAAAGAGATAATTTTTCCAAGATAGGTTTCTGGTTTATATGAATTGTTTTCTGCATGCCGTTAATCATCACAAACGTTTTTCGACCTATCTCAACCCTAAACACATTTCCTAAGTAGGACGATCATAATCGGTCCTTTAACACTGCATCCATTTAACGCAAAAGGCTTGAATTATAACAATTATATACAAGAGAAAACCCAAATTTTGATGCATTGATGAAGGTCAATTCTCATAACTGTTAACGTTCCTCTATAATGAGCGGAATATCACCTTCCATATGGGTCAAATCAGTCAAATTTTCTCTGCATGCCGGATACAACGAAAATTTGTTTGCTGGTTTGCCAGTTATCAAGCAGAACAAGGTGATCATATAAAGTTGTTAAAGTTCAACGATTGTAGAACGTTCAAAAAGGGTTTTCTAATTTCTTAAAGGAAATTTTACGATCATTTGCAATGCTTTTTGTTAGCTTTCCCCAAGAATGAATAGTTAAAGACCTTCCAGTGGATTTATGATGACAGTACATAGTTGTAGAAAACATTAAATGTTGCATATCTATGAAAGGGTTGGGAATCTGACTATGGTTCATGTGGGGGGCCGCGGTAGCCGAGTGGTTAAGACGTCAGACTCTCGGCTAGTAGATCCCGCCGTCGTGGGTTCGATCCCCACCGTCGCCTCTGGACTTTTTCTGACGCCTAAGGGGACCGGTGGCCGCAATTGAAAGAAATTGACACGGCACTCATCAATGGAAGGGGCGGAATCGGATCTCAGCGACCCTGAATTTGGTCCCGACCCCCTTCAAAAATGAGTTTCTTCGATGGAAGAACACCGGTACAACGGGGGCTCAAGTTCACATTTGTGTTGCGAGCCCTCCTCCAAAATATGGAGCCAGGGATAAAGTACAATAAGCTGTACGGCTCAGCTGCAGTGCTCAGGAGGGAACTCCTCCAGTCCCTGAAAAAAAAATTGATGCTTTTGCAGGTTTAGAAATACCTGACGAACTTTTCGAACGAATAGCAAACCTCCCCTGTTTATAGGTTTTAACAAATTGGTCACAAATTTGGGTCTCGGGGAATAATTTTTCACTACAAATTTCAATAATATTTTTACAAATTCGTAAAAATTTAATCATGCGAGTAAGTCCATCCAATTTTTGATGAATTCTCATTTTAAGTAAATACGCTTTGATAGGACCTGCTCGACAATGTTTTCTTCTCAACCGAACTGTTTAATCCAAATTGATTGGTTGTATAAATGTACACAGTTTGCGTTTTAATCATCCGAAATGGTTCTGTAATAGCGCAGAATCGAGGTTGGTTGTATCGCGTGCCGCGGTATTCGTGGGCGTTTGGTGGTCCGCCGGGTACGGAAGGGCTTTCGGCTATCAAATAATGACCAGAAGAAAAACAAAGGCGGCGAGAACAAGGGCCTAGCACAAAGGATACCAGAATTAATTAACTTACCGGGCTATACCTCTATTATGGGGCTACCGCACACAGCTTTCCAGGATAGTTTCAGATTGGTTTTTAAAATAAATTTTTGTTATTTTCAGTGAAGAGGAGCACGGTCGATATCAGGAATCGCCCACGTATCCCAGTCCCCGACGAGGATCCTTATTCGGTCGCTAGCAACGGCGGTGCCAGCTCCGGCAGCTCCGGGGGTAGCGTTCATCAAGGACAGAGGAGGAGCGACAAGCCACCCAAGCTGCCACCAAGGGACAACAACCCTTACCCGCATCATATCCCCAAGGTGAGTGGTTGCATACTTTCCGATGGAGCCTACTCGCGTGCTTTCACGTTGGAATTTGCATAGAGATCGACTTTCTACGATGAGGCGTAAGTTGCCTTTCTTCGGCTATAAAAAAATCCCATAAGACAGTCGTTTTTTTGGTCATTTTGGAAGAATTCTGTTGGCTTTTCTTTTGATTTCTTCATTTATACTTTTACTAACTATTAATCTAACATTCTAACTTTAAAGACGTTGTAGTTTGGTCGTTTCTGTCCTGGTCTGCCTATTGTTGTTATGTAAAATCAGTGTTTACATAAAAGTTATAAACCTACGACAAAGCGGTTTTAATTGTGTGGTTACGGTTAAACTGCTGAGCTGGAAAATAATCCAACAATGTGTTAAAATTTCGTACTCCGCAAAAACGTCCTGCTTAAGCATTTGAAATATTGAATTTCGTGTGAGCACTGCACATGGGCATTCTGATGCATGATCACCCAGATCATCCTGGCACTATCTTGCTGATATTTGCCAACAAATAAAAATGGAGCATATGCGAACCAGGGTAACCGGAAATGACCAATATGCACATTCAGATCGTTTCAAATTTTCAATTGTATTCGTAACAACATAAATTTAAAGATTACACAAAATATAATTGAGTGCACAAAAAAAAAAAATCAGTGTCACGAGCGGGACTCGAACCCACGACTACCACCCAGGCGCTTCTACCATTTGAGATATCGACTGTACATAATAATAAAAGTAATTACTTTGGTTAATTGTACCAGCTAAAAACATATAATAGCTTAATAAATTTAATAGTTAATATAAAAAAAACTATTTTTTGTAAATAAAATAAGCTAATAATTTAAAAACTTCAACCGAACTTACATTTACATATTTTATAACTTGTTGAGCAACGAGTCCCTAAAAAACACACACATACTTTATAAAATTAACTTCAGTTTATTTAATTACTTTTTATTTATTTATTTTGTGTAAAATATATCGAGTATACATGTTGAACTGATCGTCACAAGACCACTTTACTTGGCACATAAACCAGCGAGAATAGACGGACCCGATAAAGTGTCAACAATCAATTTATAGTCTATTCTGTCTGTTTTGTCTTAGAGTTTTGTGCTAATCAGGTTATCTTGAGTAATCGTTAAAATTAAACGCGATGTTTATACATTTTTCTGTCTCAACATGGTTCTTACCGATCATAACTTAAATATTGGCAAAAAACCTCAAACATTTTAGCGGTTAACCGTTTCTATTTTTTTTAAATCTCGATAGTGTGGCAAATTTGTCAATTGGGTCATCCCTTCAGACACGGTTAGCCTGTGCAAATCCAACAATTTGTAGCAATTGGAAAAAAATGTTAAAAAAACATTAATTTGGCTATGTCATTGAAAAAAAAAACATACCAATTTAACAGTGAATAAGAATGCGAGAATAAAGTGTTAATAATCCTTTTGAATAAAGTTATACCTTTTTATTGGTTTTTATGTTTTATGTTAATTTACTGTTGCAGCCTGACTATGACGATATCGAAGAAGACGAAAATAGCTTAGTTACAAAGGCGAACTTCCCATCATCCAGAGGAAAGGACAAGACGAAAGATTCCAACAAACACGGTACGAGAAGAATAACTAATAAAATGTTCTACGGTCTGTAAAGATGGTTCGAATTATCTTCTGACTGTAATAAAATTTCAAGTCAGAGTTGCAGACCCAGAATAAAAAACGCGCAAGCCCACGCGACAATTATTCAGCATTCAACAGACTAATTGTTCTCGGTTTTCAGACGATCCTTATTATTGCGGTCTTAGAGCCAGAGTGCCCAATTTCGTCAAGAGCAAGAACGGCAAAGACAACGGAAAGATGGTGCCGCCCCCAGGAGGACGTTACGTCCTTCCGCCAGGTCCTCCGGGCGCCCACCTCGGCCTTCACCACATCCACCATCACCAACCTCATCCCGTCATGTGGCACGCTCGCAGCTACGACAGCGGAATGGGTAAAAGCAATACCACACAATATTTTTCACGATGAAATTGTCTGGGTTTTTGTTTTTACGAGTACATATTTTGTAAGGTAACTTTGAACAATTTTGCCGGGCGAAAATTTATTATTGATCTGGTGCAATCCGTTTCATCGACTTCAGTTAACGCAAAATTATACGTTATTTGTGCAGAATAGCAAAAGTAAATCAAAATACTATAAAAAATTACATATTTTATTACCAAACCTTTTCTTGTATACAAAATCATGAGCTGAGGCAAAATTAGCACCCATTAGTTTTTTAATAAATAAATAAACAAATTAATTAATGTGCGTTAAAATTTTATAACCAATGATTGTAGAATAATAATGTTATTATAAAATAATATTACATTAATATTTGTCATCGAATTTGAAAATCGTTCTCTGGCACAACATCAAGTTTCTGGGTCACCTGTTCCACTTTTAAGGACGTGGTTTTTTATTTTATATGTGATTTATGTGTTTTGTTTGGGTGCATATATTTTATCAGTGTGAGGGTGAGGAGCTGATGATGAAATATAGCGTCACCATCGCCCCTCCAGCAGCTTGTGTTTTTAGGATTGATGGCTGAATATTTACAAAAATACATCATTGACCCTAATTTAGATTAAATTATTAATACTGTGTGTTGATGGAGGAATATCGAGTATTCTACCGACTAATCAGAGTACAATGAACATGAACAATACAATGTGAATGTATTTATTTGTGCGACTGTACGAGTTAGTTAGTTTTAGGCTAGATTATAGTTGAGAGCTAAAATGAGATAGCTGTCAAACACCCTGTTGGTTGGGAAGAGATGATCTCCTGGACATCTGGCTTAAGTTAGATATTAGTGACCTAGCCGTAAAATAGGGTAGGTGAACCCCTGAGGTAAGACACAAGGGTCAATGATGTAGGAGTGACAATGCTTTAGGTCGTTAAGTCCAATAATATTATTCTACTATACTCATTGGTTATAACATCATAGTGAAAGATCACAGAACAAAATAAACACCTTAGAATTTTTTCTTCTTCATTCTTAGAATCCTCAATTATTTGAAGAAAGTGTTTGAAAAAAGACACACTGTTATTCAGCTTTCATACATTGCTTACTTACTAATGGATGCAGATAATATTGTATATCATTAAAATAAACTAAAAAATTGTGTTTGAGGCCCTGCAAATAAGCACAGATATTTTCCGATAGGGTTAAATGTGATAACTAATTTGATGATGAAAATACAACAGACTATCAAAGATGTTTTCCATGTCTCAAATGTTTCAAATTAGTTCCAAGTTTTTTCATTTATTTTCTTTATTTTTTTCTTTCAGATTCTGAGTTTATTGATTCACCTTACAACCATATCTATGGCAGGTTACCAATTCCTACACGCGGCTATATTCCACCCACACCTAGGACAATGTTCGTCAGCGAATGGGACTGATTTGAGAGTCAAACCTTTGGGTGTTTTCCTGTAAATAGTCTTGAATTTAAGATTTAAGCTGTCCAATTAATTTTGATGGTATTTTTTTAGAAACATCTCTAAATAATTTTTACCTTGGCAAAATAAGAAAATTGGACGAATTTTAATTAATTAAGATTTACTTTGTTGGAACATACATAGAAATATTTATTTAAAAAGACAAAACTATAAATGAAAATACAACATTGCAATTTGTACATTGTATATATATCATGATTATACATTAATTTTATAAATATAGTATTTCCGTATAAATATATTAATGCAATTTTTATAAAATATTATTTAAATTTATGTTTCATTTATTAGATTATTTTAATTTTACTATACAAAACTAATGCATTGCTTTTTTAAAAATTAATATAACTATAGATTCTGGCACTGCCAAGTTTAATTATTATTGTATAAAAGTGATGCTATGGTTAACCATATATTGTACTTGTTATATTGTTAGAAAGAATTTACCAGATTTCTATTTGTATAGTGACTATCCTATGATAGAATACACCATTAAGGTACTTTAGCCATAAAAGTTAAACAATGGAATGTTTTATTATTATATTAATGTAAACTTTTTCCAATTTATTACCTTTAATTTTATATCATTAAAATAACAATTTTATATATGTTAACTTATTTTTATTGATTGTGTTTAATTAAAGTTTATATAGGAGATGTATATGGTAAAATATTGTTATTCTGAATGTAGAATGTGTTTTTTGTTTTTTTATACAATAGCAGCGACACATTGACTTTGTATGCATTTGATTCAATTTCTTTGTGTGTAAAAGTTATGGAAATAAAATGGTGTCGGTTTAACTGTATTAATGTTTTTTGTTTGTTTGTTCAGACCTAACCTTTTCCCAACTCACAAGAGAAATAAAATGTTTACCATAAAACAATATTATCATAAATTGATTATATTTTTATTGCTATTTTTTTCTACGATAGATATGCATAATAATAAAAAATGTAAGTGCGTTATAAGTTCTAAGGGACAGATTCTTGGTAAATCCTTTCTTCAAGCTTTTGTTTGAAAGATAGGCTGAGTTGGAGCTTCTTAAAAAAACTAGTAGTTGTATGGGTACCTGAAATGTCAAGCTGGAAGACAAAGAACATGCAGATGATACAGTGAAAGATCTTACTATCGCAATCTGACCAGCTGACACTAAATGAGCAATAAAGAATGTAGTAAAGAAATGGTGGTAGTGTTAGAGGACTGGGTTATTCAAGTGTGTGCATGGAACATTGGTAGTTGGCCCTTGAAGAATCGATACCTCTGAAGAAGAATCGTCCTAACCCAACTCAGTATTGGTTATATGGTGAATCAGAAGAAAAGCTCTCAGATATCAAGAGCACTGTTGATAGATGGTCCTCAGATGACCTGACTCATATAATAAAGGACATCACATCAAAATTGGTCAGTAAATGCATCCAAAATCTCAAAATCTTGGGAACAAAATAACCTGATGATATCTTGGGTGCTAGGAACCAAGGGAATTTTGGGTAATGAAAAATCAGATACAGAGGAGGCACTGCAAGACCATATATAGGCCTAGAATCTATTCTTTGGGATAACAAAAACAAACAGAATCCTCCATCACAGAATCATCTAAAAAATGACAAAAGGAGAATTGAATAAATTCTAGAGGTGCTAGTCACAGTACGGTTATCAAACTAAAACAACCCTTACCAAGGTGGGGAAATTAACTGATACAAGTTAGAGAGGAGTAATAGGACAATATGTATACTGTTCACTGGCATCTGAGAAAATATCTACATAACATGGATATATAGGATTTGTAGGTTATGCAATAAGGTGGAAGAATAGCCACCCCTATCATTTTTTAATACAATACAACTCCTGAATTTCCAAGTACCCATATTTGTCCACTTCAATATGATGGCTTCATCACATGAATCATTTTTTTAGTAAAAGTGATAATGACAAAGGTATTAAACAGAAAACATTTTAGTATCATTGGAGTGATACCAATGAGTATTTTCCTCCACTCTTGCTTTTAATTTTGTATATATATCCTTGCTCATTGTTACATGTTACCTACCTGAAGGTAGTTGGAATGTACTACAAAATTTAAAAAAAAAGAAGAAAAAAGTGAAATGTATCAATCATGTGTAATTATATGTCGTATTGATTCGAAAACACATGTAATATGTCCCATGAAGCTTCTGGTAAATAAATTCCCTCTTATTAGGGGTACTATAAGAGAGAAAAACAGTACATTCTGGATTTGGATTTATATAGGCTCAAATCTTAATTAAAACCATTGGGACATTGCATTGGTATTGGAACAGAGGGTTCACTCTTACGATTAATGGCAAGAGACATGTTTGTAACTCTTTCAACCTGATGATGTGCTTTAAGCTTGAAATGCGGAATGTTGAAAACAACAAACTGTGAGTAAGACAAAGGATTCAGTCTTACCCGTCCAGCCACCTAGTGTTGGGTGCTGTAAACAGCTAAGCCAATTCAGCACGCAATGCATGCAGTTCCAAACTATCCCATGTTCAGTGTTTACATACTATTCATTCAAGTAGGGATGATGGAATACTTGCTATTCCTCCATTACCATTTACACATATTAAACAACTAACCTAATTGAGGGTCAATGGGGTTTGATATTCCATCAACCCTTTCACATCACACATTCACGCTAATAAATACATTCACTCTCAACACAAACTAGGTATACACAACTATTACTACTATACACAATAGAACAGTCCTGTTTCCTCCAAGAATTGGAGCAGGAGACTCAGATGCTCAATGCCATGCTCAAGCACAATTCTTAGATTGGGTGACATTCCTGCACACACTCTGTATAGAGCCAAGGAATTGCATACTACAATTAGAGTGGGACACATCGACCAACCTTTCTCGGCATGTTGGACACATACACAGTTTTGGCCCAAAAGTACATTCTGTTTGTTAGAATAAAATCTTTTTGGGGTTTGTTTTTAGAGTAACAAACAAATTTTCAATATGCTCATTGAAGTAATAATACTTAAATAAACAATTCTCTCTCAATGGAAGAAACTCATTTTTCTAGTGAAACTTGGTTAGAACAGGAGTCTGGTGTTTATAATAAACTTATTAATACTAAACCAAAAACTCCTTTGGGGTATGATAGAGTACCTGCTCATTTTCCAAATTATAGTGCAATCAGAGCTACTCAGCCGATAACTTGGTTATATAACTTGTCATTTAGAATACAATTTATGCCAGATATTTGAAAGGTTAGCTGTGTAATACTTATTTATAAGAGCGGTAATAAGTCAAATGACAAAACTTACATCAATATCATTGGCCCAATAGTGACAGTATTTGAATCTATTATTTATAATAAGATATATCCACTTGCGTCACAAATTGTTATTCTGCGACAACCTGGTTTTGATAAAAATAAGTCAGCATCCACTTATCTTTTAATCTATCATAAACATTATAGATGCAGTTGATAAACATTGTTATGTTGATTCAATTCACACAGACTTAGCAAAAGCATTTGACTCTGTCCATCATGATATTTTGATTACAAAGTTGGAGGCATATAGTTTTTATGGTAGTCTTCTCTGTTGGTTTCACTCTTATCTGGAAAATATATTCCAAATAGTTAAAGTTAATTTTTCTGACTCTTTCAAATTTACAGTTACTTCGGGAGTTCCACAGGCCTCTTGCTTAGGGCATCTTTTGTTTCTTGTTTTTATAAATGACATTTATTCTGTGCTTAATGACATAAATTTACTTCTCTTTGCTGATGAACTAAAAATCTTTAAACCTGTTTCTTCTCTTACTGATCCTACAAAACAATTTAAATTATCTTGATTCCTGATGTTAAAATAATATTTAAATCTTAATACTATAAAACGTGTCCATGTCTGCTTCTCAAGGTGCATTAATTATAGCAACGACACACCCTCAATTAATAAAGAACTATTAAAAACCTCAGCGTCTTGTTTGACCAACAGCTAATGTTCTCAAAACCAAATTTTAGTTTAACTGTTAATGCTATAAAACTTCTCAAATTTATAATTCTTTTTTCAGAATATTCAGCTGTTAAAAGTGCAATAAATCACTGAATTCTCTTATATAGTTTGGTTACCGCATTATCAGTATATAAAACCATTCTTGTATGTGTTGAGTATAGCTTTCTCAGATATATACATTGGGTTTTATTTCAAAATTTTGCTGCAAATTATTCAAAAATTCTAAATGCTTGAATATAGACACACTTGAAACCAGATGTAAAAAAATTATATTATATTTCTCCATAAATTATTAAATAATCAGATAAACTGTCCAGAACTCCTCAAAATAATTAACTTTAACATTCCATTTCATAACGCCAGAAACATTCAAATCGTAGCCTACAGTAGGAAAAATTATACTTTTCATTCTCCCATCAACAGAGTTCATAGACAATCTAACTCCATTTGCATAGATTATTTCTTTTATAAAAGTACAAAAATTAAAAAAAAAAATTGAAATGCCACTTCAAACTTGTATCTAGTCATAGTTATGCATTTTTATATACACTTATATATGAGTGTTCTTATATTTTTATTTATTAACTTTATTTTAATAATATTTTGTGTTTACCTGTTTTTCTATGTTATTAGGTTTCTAAGCTTGTGTTTGTAATAAATAAAATAAAACAAAAAAATGTACCTGGCACTCCAAAGCGAATAGGCAGACAAAAATGATTCGTATCATTCAAATCATAGGTTCATCTCCCTACAGACCACATGGAAAAATCTCACAATTGAACTAAATATTGGCAATATCAGGAGTTGTTTGAAATGTACAAAGTGTTACATCAAATTAAGAAAAAAAAAAAAAAAAAAAAACATATATACATTAATTAACAAACAATAAAAATTATGATACAAAACTCTAATCATAATCCACACTCAGCTGAGATGTGAAATATTAATTTTTAAATTTAGGAAAGACTAAAAATCAAATGCCCGTATTCCCGTGGTCGACCCAGGAGAGAAGAGAGAAAAAATCCTTTTTTACATCCAAGAGGTTTTTTCCCCCGCGAAAACTATCTATTCTCTCTCGCCCTCTTTCAGGCTAGCGCCATTTTTCAAAACTCTCCAATATATATATTATATATGTTATAACATAAACATAAGGCAGCAGGATTATGCAATATTTCAGGTCCATAAATATTTAAATTGTATGCAGGTTTGTACATTTGTGTGAATCAATATGTCTCTAAATCCTCTGAGGAATATTGAGTATTCTTGATTAACCCCCAATTACCCCGAGGACTATAGAGTTCTATGGGGTAGAGAGAAACTGCTAGCTAAACTATTATGTTTTATTTATTATGTTTTGTGTATGTATTTGTTATTTTACCTACAATTCAATGTGATCTGGGTGCATAGTTGACTCAATACTAAGATAGGGGGAATTAAAGGGTGCAGTTTGGAACCTCTTGCAATTTTAATCGAAATTAATATAATCTAATCAATGTTGTATCTTTTGATAATGACCATTGAACATGGAACCAATATATGTATTTCTGGAATATGAAATATCAGAAAATAACCAACATTTCCATTCACTTATAATAACAGCCATACAAGTATATATAAGTGGGAAGTTTATGGGCCGACAAACAGCTGAGGTCATCGCCGGCCCTCTGCGTGTTTTCCATCTTTTTCTTTTCTTTCGCGCATATTTTGTTTTAAACTGCAGCCATTTGAGCTGTCTCGATCTAGTTACTGACTCTCTGATTTCAGATATATACTACGTTGATATTCTAGAATGCTAGTCTCTCGTTTGTACCTCAGGTTGTCAAATACAGCATTAAAACAAAACATACAATGTCTGGATATTGGTACATTTGTATGGATTATTAATAACTATTTATTTATCAGTTGGTTGATTGGCAGGTGAGGAACCTGGGTCATTCTGGAGGTGCTGGGTCGGCTGTCTCGGGTTGTCTCCGGGGGGGGGGTACTCCACATGCAAAGGGCAATTGGTCCCTGGGAAGTGGGGAGGATGTGGACTTTTCCAGGGGCCTCTGTTGCCAAGTACGGTTTTTATCCACATCCCCCTAATGCTACCGAAATTAGATGTAAACCTGAATGAGAAGCGGGTGTATGGGGTAGTGCCCTTTGGAGGTGGCCCGGGTCGATTGGCGTTGTCACCAATTAATTGACATTGACTGAATGTCTGTAGGGCAAAGTCCAAAACACACACACAAAAAAAAGTCTGGTCACATTCATTCCCCCAGAGTACTCGATATTCCTCGGGGCGGGGTTATAAGCAACCCCTTCCTTTCACGCTAATAAATTACATTCATTACAATAAATTAACACAAACACAACACTCGATAGGAACATAGAGGTCTGGTCACTTTCACTCCCCCAGAGTACTCGATATTCCTCGGGGCGGGGTTGAACTCTTTCCACTCTCGCTAATAACTTACTTTTACTCTCCAGACGTCACACACTCACCCCAGAGTACTCGATATTCCTCGGGGCGGGGTTAAATCACCCTTTCCTTTCATGCTAATAAATTACGTTTATTCCAATAAATTAACATAAAGTCAAACACAGACACAACACAAACACATAAAACTACATACGTTTAAAAATCCCTATAGCCCTGAAGTACCGGAACAGCGATCTGTGCCCGCTGCCGTGCCTCAAGAGTACTCACAGGTCCGACGATATGCCAAAATATTGTCTATATACATCAAGCCTTCTGCACTTGAAGAGGTGCTCTACCGTTATTCTATCCTTACATAACGGTCGCTTTCCGGTCAGAAGGTGCCCGTGCGTTATTTTTGTATGACCTATGCGTAGTCTTGTCAGTATGGCCTTTTCCCTTTTCAAACCGTTTTCCGTGTACCAGGGACCGACTTCTTTCTTAACCTGCCACAGTTTGGCAGGGTTAATTCTATTTCTTCGAACCCAGCGGTTTTCCCATTCTTTTTTTACTGAGTTTGACATTAGTAGTTTTAAGTCCTCTGGGCGTATAGGTTGGGAAGCGTCGAGGGGCTTTCCAGCGGCTCCCTTGGCCGCCCTGTCTGCTTCTTCATTCCCGGCTATCCATATGTGGCTGGGAACCCATGCCCACACGACCTTCTTCCCAACTGCATCCATCCCTTTTAACTGTTCTTTTATCTTGTTTATTAAGGGGTCCACGGAGGCTCTTCTCCTAAGCTTCTGGACCGCACTGAGCGAATCGGTACATAACAAAAAAGAGTTGTCGTTTTTATTTTTTTTCATGCCATAAAAGTAAACACCTCATTTTTGTTTATTTAATAAATTATTGGTGTGTGATTCTAATATATAAGGACAAAATAGTTTAAAAAAATGAAATATTTATTTGAAATTAATAGAATTAATATAAAAATAAATTACAATAGTATTGTGCTTGCAAAAATAGAAGGCTACACCTTAGTTAAATTATCTCAGACAAAAAGGAATAATTTGTAAATAAAAAAATACTACAAATATAAATTTTGGGCATTTTCCTAATAATTTTTTCCTGATTTGTGAATACCAGCTTAATTACGTTTTGACATGCTAAGTCTTTTAATGAAATGATCACCCCAGCGAAATTAAAAACGATTTCCCAACCCCTGCAATACGTTGTTGTTGTAATACGCTCGACATGTTGCCATGTAAAAAAAATCTTGTAGCCCAATTTATTAGATACATATTAATGAAGCTTTTGTAGTTGTTTATGTTATGGAGAGTCGCGTGCTGGAGAACGCTTTGTGACGAAACCCTCGTCGCCAATTGTTCGCGAAGGGGGGCCCCGGAAAGAAAGTGTATAGCCATAATGGGTCATTGTTGATATTGATTACAGTGTTTACCCCAGACGAGAGGGGGTCGTCATTGTTCTACACGGTAAATATGCGTTTTCGATCATTAGGGGATGGAACAAAGCCTATGGGAATCGGGGGGAGCTAGCTACCCACAAAAGCTCCTCGGCAGAATCGCGGACCGATTCCCAGGGGATTCTGGCTAATCGCCCTTAGTCATATTCCATATTTTACGCATTCGGAGGGAGCGATGGAAGATTACCAAAACAATCATCGGATCGTCTGCCTAACGGTGAAAACTAAGCAGGCAGGGATTATCCTATCAGGTCAGATTTTAGGTCACTTTGCTAATATGCTTCTGTATATCATTTTTCGTCGCAACATCAAAAAATACGTTGCGTTGAAACGGCCATGCAATGTGTAAAGGTGTTTTATTTTTCAGCGCTACAGTTTGAAATTGGTTAGTAAATTCCAAAAAGATTGACACGGTAAGGGTGTTTGTTTAAACAGAATCATCCCGAACGTATCTCTGTCTACCACGTGTTACTTTCGTATTCATCTTTCGTTGTTTCGGTTCAATACAATGTACTTGATTGACGAGGTGCTGCGGGTGAAGTCGTTTTACGGTGGTAATTACCCTGGAGACGTAGTAAAAGTGTTCCAAGAAGAGTATTCTCAATGTCCGATATATATAGTCGGTCACAATTTATCGAGTGATTTTGAATTTTCAAGGCCATCGGGCCATGAGGTCATGTCCACCTATCCCGGAAGTGAAGGTTCAAATAACGTCTCACCTGAAATTGTGTGCGGGGTATACATCATGCTGGCTGGAGTATCATTCATTGTCGTTGTTGCAGAGGAACGCCATCTAGTAGTGTTGGTAAAACTTTCCTCAAAAAATTGAAGAACTGAACACCATTTAAATTATTTCCGTAGAAATTAGGCCCAATTAATTTATTTACGAGAAGTCCACACCAAACGTTGATACTATGTACCAACTGATGACGACAAGAGTACAAAATTTTCGGAATTTCCTCTGCCCACGTTCGAAAATTCCAACGGTTTAGTATGCCATTAGAGGTGAACTTGATTTCATCAGTTCATAGGATGTATGGGAGAAAGTTTTCTTCAGCCTCCCAAATCGACATTTGTGCAGTGAACGTTAGACCCCTGTCATAATCCCGAAGTCTTGGACAAGATGAGGACGATACGGCTTAAAATTGAATGTGCGGAGTACATCTCTAATTTTATTTTTTGAAAAACCTAAAACCCTTCTGGACAGAGGAATTTGGATTTTAGCGAACATACAGTGAAATTTTTCAGTTAATTAATATTTATGAAAGGTATTGGTCGACATAAAAAAGTCAGTGTTACGAGCGGGATTCGCCGAGAATCAAATAGATTACACGGCATTTGAAAAATGGCAAAAAGGAGGGAAAATTCGAGAGGTGAAGTTGAGATGGGAAGTTAGTGTCATGATAGCTCAAATGTTATAGCAGCGGCGTTTTGAGCCGAAGGTCATGGGTTCGAATCCCGCTCGTGACGCTAGTTTTTTCATTTCAACCAAAACCTTGCATAAATAGATTAATTAATTGAAAAATGTTAATTGTTCAATCGGATCACTAACTGTAATGGATACAGTAAAATATTCAGCTCCTCGTCGAAATTACGCTGCGGGTTTCTTGGTGATGGAACAGCAACTGATCCGTGCCTCTTCATATTGCAATCATATGAATAAATATAGTGGTTTACTCTGGTGCGATAAGGAAATTTCTGGCAGTACAATTCGATTGCGCGCATTACCAGGACTACCAAAATGTAGTCGTACATATCAATTCGCTGCTGATCGGAAAAATGTGCTCTTCGGTTCATTTGGAATGGAATACTGAATGTAACGAGTAGATACTATTGTACAATTTATTTACTTCTATGATTTAAGATTTGCACTCAAAATGTGAATTTGACAAATAATAACACAATGTAACCAGTAAAGTAATGACAAACAGTAATTAATTAAGGTTTTTAGTTGAGATGAAAAAAAGTTAATGGCACGAGAGGGTTTCGAACCCACGACCTTCGGCTTGATACGCCGCTGCTCTACCACCTGAGCTATCGTGACCTCGATCCATTCGGACATCAACTCCCCATCTCAACCCCACCTTATGAGTTTTCCCTCCTTTTCATCAAGCCGTATCAAGCCGAAGGTCGTGGGTTCGAATCCCTCTCGTGCCATTAACTTTTTTTCATCTCAATTAAAAACCTTAATTAATTGTAATGTTTAATTGGTCAAGCGGACCACGAAATTAGTGAATTTAACAAACAGTAATGTTTATTTTAGTGAAATAACAAATTATTGGAATTAACAACGAAACAAACGAAATGTGTTTTTTCAAACTTTTTTCCATAAATTTGGCATTTTTTGATCAATTTAAAATCCGATTGCACCATTGTTTTCAGAGTAAAAAATCCTTAAAACGTTCTCTCAGGATGTATAGGGTCGTTTTTGAAATTTTTAAGTTGAATTGGGCCTGATGTACCCTGTACAATTCCCCCTCCCCAAAAAAGGGTAAATATTTGATACTAGACTAAATATTAAACACGTATTGTTTGTTTTTTGAAAGCTGCATTGGTTCAAGAGAAATCCAACCGGGCCATATAAAAAGGTCACCCAGTATAGATTCCTTGTTGGACTTTCCTCTATCATCCTACGAACAATTTTTCAGTGTTTACGGGGTAATCATTGTTTTACCATTGGTCATACTACAATACACATTCGCGCTTATAAATACACTCAATCTCGCGATACTGTAAGACAGAATACATCTACTACATTTAAAAAAGTAACCTGAAGACCATTCTTGTTTTCTCCAAAATTCGGATCAAGGGACCTATAGATTAGCACAATTCTCACATCGGGTGGCATTACGACCCACTTTTTATATGGAGCCAAAAACATGCAATACTGTGGTGTTTAGCGGACACATACGTGGGCTTAGGTGAAAGTGACGGCGTATCAACCGCGTATGGCTACTTTAAGTAGGGTGATGATTCCTATGATCCAGATTCAACTAATGACCTCCTAGGTGATTACTCATTGAATTTATCAATACATAAAGCCGTATACCTTATATTTCATTTATATATGGAAAACGGCAGCCAGGATAGTTACTAAATTCGCACGGCATGAGCGGCCAATTATTTTTATTTTTTCTTCGGTTTCCTGACGAAGAATCAATCCTTTACAATTTGCCGGATACAATAAAAAAAGCACCTTAAACTACGTGGAACTCGGACATTAAGGTTAAACGCTTCCGCCACTGGTCATGGACGAAATTGAAAAGCCAGCCCCGGGCCACCCATGTCGCCAATCGTCGTCATATCGAATTTCCGCAAAAACGGCACTGGCCATATTCTGGAAAGGACCCTGCAGTGAAATGTTAAATGTTTACCACACGTATAGTTTTTTTTTGTAAGATTCGTTTTTTCTTTAAATACAATGTACAATATAGAAAAGAATATCTAATTAAATAGAATAATTTTTTGATATTGTCCATTCTGATTTTGTGGAACTCCATAATAAATTGATGGGTAGGAAGTAAATTGTCTTTTCCACACAGAGGATTCCTCGCTATTGTGGAACAGACAATTTTTCTCCTATCCATCAACTTAAATAGAAATAGAAATATTATACAAAAAATTTCACAGTAGTGTTTGACCCCTTTACAGTGTGTAGAAAAATATAAAATAATTAAATAACAAAAAGGTTACAAAACATAATGCGATAAACAATAATTAATAAACAAAATTTGTTTGATATTTACTTAGTTGAATATGAATGAAGAAGAGAATTAGGTATAAAGGAAAATCATAAAAGAGAGAAGAAAGAGAGAATAGCGACATGATCATGTTAGTTGGATCAAATCATGAATTTTTGCAAACAAGTTGAAAGCTTCAAGCTTGAAAGCCCGGAGTGTTGGGCCGACCCAATATACCGCGGAAGGAAGGCTCGTGGACAAAGATCAGGAAGTAATCTTTATAAAAAGATAGTTCCCACTCACAGTTAGTAAGACTAAAAAAACAATTCAAACACAGACTAACTGTGAGTAGGAACTATATTTTTAAAAAGATTGAACAACACACCCACACGACATTTTATCATTTCTAATAATTTGTTAGTCAAAGCATTAATGGATTATAATGCAATTAATAATACTACCTCGTCTTACTTAAAATAAGCCAGAAAGCAAGAATTTTTAAAAATTTATTAAAAATTAAGTCTTTCTTGCTCAAAAATCAACAAATCAATCTGGTTCAATTCTCAATGTTTGAAATTAAACCTAACCCCAAAATTCGTCCTTGCTAAATTAACTATTAAGAACTGTTCAACTCTCTTACAACGTAAATGCCAAAAAACTATATTAAATAATGAATTACATAAATTGTACAGTCATAAAGATACAAAACGTTTTTATCAATACTAACTGTGCGTAGGAACTATATTTTTAAAAAGATTGAACAACACACTCACTTCACCTTTTATAATTTCTATTTATTTGTTAGTCAAAGGAGTAAGGGATTATAACGTAATTAGTAATACTACCTCGTCTTACTTAAAATAAGCCAGAAAGCAAGAATTTTTAAAAATTTATTAAAAATTAAGTCTTTCTTGCTCAAAAATCAACAAATCAATCTGGTTCAATTCTCAATGTTTGAAATTAAACCTAACCCCAAAATTCGTTTTTGCTAAATTAACTATTAAGAACTGTTAAGCTCTCTTACAACGTAAATGCCAAAACACCATATTAAATAATGAATTACATTAATTGTAGAGTCATAAAGATACAAAACGTTTTTATCAATATCTTGTACACATAAGTCTTGCTTCATTATTGTCTCCAGTAGAATGGGACAAATTGAATTATGATACGTAATCAAAAGTTAAATTTATCTTACAATTAATTAAGGTTTTTAGTTGACATAAAAAAGTCAATGGCACGAGCGGGATTCGAACCCACGATCTTCGGCTTGATACGTCGCTGCTCTACCACTTGAGCTATCGTGATCTCGATCCACTCGGACACCAACTTCCCATCTGAACACCACCTTTTGAATTTTCCCTCCTTTTTGCCATTTTTAATCTTAATTAATTGTAATATATTAATTGGTCAAGCAGACCACGAAATTAGTGAAGTTAAATTTATCATTTATAAAAAAAACAATGTATACTGGATAAAAAAATTAAAAACATGAAGTATGGACTCAACTAACTGTGAGAAGGAACTATCTTTTTTTAAAAATTGAACAACCCCCTCACTCCACCCCTTTCATTCTTTTCATTTTTCTCTAGATTGGACCCCATACACTACCCTGTGCCAGAACGCCTTCATCTTTGAGTTTATTGATCGTGCATCGTTGCATCTTACATGGAATATCCGATTTGTAATAATGGATTGGACTATTCGATAATACGTGACAGGCAGAAGTGTGGTTTTCGTATTTATAGGAGTCGGGTGCCACACAGGTACGGACTCTTTTTCGTTGTCCAGGAAAAAATCCTTGGCATACCTTTTACTTTAGGAGTCGAGGGTGTCTTTCATTTCTGTATGAAGTTATTGATAGGAAATCCAATTGGAAATTTGGAATCACACTTTTTTTTTTTTTTTTTTTTTTTTTTTTTTTCGCTGGCATATTACCCATGACGCTTTCTATTTTCATTTTACTGTCGAGCGGGATCGGCCCACCAGGACCAGGTCCCCGCCGTGCGACCGCACCCACTCATTCAGCTCCATCATCTTCTCATCTTCTAAATATTCATGGTTGAAGATAATCAAAAAGAAACGTTTATCGACTTTAGAAATCCATAGATTATGTTGAAAGCTGATGGATTGTTGCTTATTAGGACAGATTCTAAGCTTATTGGTTTGTAAATGTTTGGGACTTTGCTCAGATTTTTTAGCAGTTTGTCTCTTTCATTTTTGTATTCTGGACATTCAAAAATTATGTGGGAAGGATTTGAAGGGCAATCGCAAGTGGGACAGTTCGGAGACGATGCCAAACCGATTCTCTTCTTGTAGCCACCCCATAGGCGATGATTTGTCTTCAGTCTAAAAATAGTAGAATAGAACGCCTTTGACATTCCTTCTGGGCTATCGCGTATCGGCTATCGCACCACTTAAATATGGCATCAATTTAGAGAGCACAAGACTTTCAAATATTTTGGAAAATATGGTAGAAGGCTAAACGGCTGAGAGCTTTCAGGGCCGTGTGGTGGTTTTTACGGTTTAGGTATCATAGTTTGGCGTGCTTCCATTTCGTTGGAAAATTTGGTACGCTAAATGGCGTTATAGATTTTGCGTGAGTTGAACCAAGAATCTTCGCGGTATATGATCGCTGTTTGAACTAAAATTTTCATGCGGATCTGAAGCTTTAAAAAATAAATTTAAAATAACTAATAATGAATGTGGGCTTTGGAAGAAAACACAGTGACTATTCTTTTTAAACTTATTTTTATTTTCACATTAACACACCGACTCAACTCGTCTTAACTTTTTATAACTTGATTCTTCTCTGTCGTTGTCTCGTCCCCACCTCTGGTCACGTCATCATTGGTTATTCCCACATGAATTATGTGTTTTTTAAGTATTTATTTAATCAAGTGTTAAAATAATATCTGGAGTTAATTCTTGAATTGAAATATAGACGCTTGTTTACCTTCTTGCATATTTATCGTGGAAATCCAATCTCCCTTGATGCCACGATGAGTTTTTAGAGGAAAAAACTTGACAGAACCAGCTTTTGCTTCTTCATTCTTGAATGTTTCGTTCATCAAAGCGTGAAGCGTTTGGCTGAATAATTAGTAATCCGAAGGAACGAGAAGAAACTAAAAATTCGAATTTCATTTTGTTAATGTTTGAAACGATCTGACGATGTATCGAAAGAAAAATATCGATATTGTAAAGTCGAAAGAATGGCATAGATACTTGAACAGTATTGAAATACCCTGAATTATTGATACTATGGATCTAAAATGCCAATACCATATTCGAAATACCATCTTTCGTAGAAGGAAGGGGCACCGACAATCAACATCTAGTTGGATGAAAAGATTGTCACGCTGTTTCATACATTTTAGGGTATGTTTACAAATTACAAGGTGATGATTAGATTTTTAATGTTTAATAACTTAAGCGGGGGCGGGGGTTGATGCGGGGGCGGGGGTTGATGCCGGAGCGGGGGTTGATGCGGCGGCGCCTTCTTCTTCATCATCTTCTTCGTCATCGGAATCGTGTGAAAACTGGTAAACATAGTAGCTATATGTGACGAGAAAACAATAGAACCTTATGGCTGAAACACAGAATGGCTTTTAAAAACGAAGGTTGGCTTTATTGCGATTGCGAATCACTCACCGGTGTGTGGTATAGTTGCTAAAATCGATGAATAAAAAAAAGCCGCCGAGGCACAACAACGCACAATAGTTGCTATCAAAACCACTATAGCGTATATTAGATAAAATTGAAAAAATAGTTTTGCATGCTGAAAAAACACAGACCTATGAAAAACAATGGAAAACAGTCAAGTGTTTGGACAATTAAAAGAAATTGTTCTAAAATAAATCTGGGGCTTTCGAAAACCCCGAATTTTGTTCGTGAAGGATAGTTACCGCCATTATGCTAAACAGGAAAATGATGTGCATAGCCAAGTCGCATGTGTGAAATATTGATGAGAATATCAGCATTGTAATGAGTACGTCTTCCGCTGAAACAAATAGGGAACATTAAAGAATATGTACTGAATATTTCTTTGGTTATATTTATGATAAAAACATGTAAGATGTAAAACCTCATGCGTAACAATTTAGACTTAAAAAAAATTGTGCACTTTTGTACCAAAAACATTTTTAAATCATAACGTTCAGTCATTAAAAGATTATCTTTAATTATGTTTCATTAATTCATTTTTACGTGTTTTCAAACCCTTCTCGAGTAGTTAGTTAAACTGATAAATGATTTATCTAAGCTCGATTCTGCACACGGATGTGCGTACATAGTAGTTAGTTAAATTTTATATTTTATAGGTTTTCATTATTTTTAGCGAGTTGAAAGACAATAATAAGTCAAGATTTTAGTAGCATGCCGGAACCAGATTAATTGTTCGTTAGTCTCATAAAATGCAGCAATTATGAAATTTGAAACGGAACGTTTTGGCTTGAAACGAAAACATCGTAGTTGCACTTGTAATTTTCTCTCCAAATTTAGAAATTTTAAGATAAATGGGTCTTAAAAAGTCATTTTCTTAGTAATGACAAAACTGAAGAAAAATAATGGCGTTCTAACAAGTTTTCTTTTTAATCACTGAGTCTTATTGATCCATATTGAAATATTTTTCTTCCTTTATAATCTCAACGAATTTAAAGAGAAATGATAAAAGAAAAAAATGTTTGTCTAAAGGCACGTAAAAACCGTCGGACCACGTGGTAAATGTTCTTCAGTCGAAATTTTGAGAAGAGATTTTATAAAGTGACAACTCATCATAACTCCATCACCAGTAGTGACGCGCGATACCCTAAAATATTCGATACCAGTACTCGAAACTAATATCGAAATATTTATTCGATACTACTCAAGTATCGACAGGAATTATTCGATACTAACGAGTACTTACTAATATGAGTACTTTTTCGTTTACTCATAAATGATCAACTTACTATTGTGAACTTTGGTTAAAATACGCTCGTGCGTTAAAATAATCAAGAAATTGGAGGTTTTTCAAGTATTTTTTCATACAGTGGGTACGTAGGTAAGAACATGGAAAAGCTGCCAACACATTTCAACATAATTGATATTTCAATTTCATCGTTATGGAGTTTTGAGAAAATTGATCAACGGGTGTTTGGTTTTCAAATGTTTGACTAAATTATAGACGTATTCCCGCACAGTTTACAAGATGACGACGTTTCAATTTTCTTAGTAAAATAACCCATGCCTTAGTTTTGGGAGGAGACATGATTAGGAATCTACTTACGAGACGGAAGGCGAACATACTTTAGGGACTTGAAGACAAAAACATTTTATAAGAAATTCTGAAATTGAAAGTGCGAGGTGCAACGGATGCGGGAAAGAATTATTAGTTACCAGAATTGTCAGCAAAGTTCCCAACCACCAATTAAAAATCTAGATTAACTGTGTTGAGATATGCCGCTAGTAGGCGCTCGTAACAGTAACTAGTCAACTCCCACTTTGACGAAAGGTAAGTTTCCAACGGTAAATAGCAATTCAATATTACTTCAACACTCGACGAAAAATCTATTTGAGTATATTTTCCGACTACAAAAAGTATTCGATACAGTACTTGTATCTGACAATATTCGATACCAAAATTACTTGGTATCGAAAGAAAATACTCGACATTTTACTCATATCGATTGGTATCGCACGTCACTAATCACCAGCAGTACCTGTATGATCATCCGTCAGTAATTCGGGCACGTTTTCCATAAGTACTGCCGTAGTTAACAGAAAAGTTGCGAACGACACGACCTGAAACATCCATTCGGATTACCGACATCCGCACTCCGGTTTTTATTTTGTTTTGTTCGTATTTTTACCAAATGCACCACAGCGATAATAAAACATCCGTTCTTTAAGGAATAAAGCCCGCAGAATGACTTAACCTTGCACATTTCTCACGCATTTTACTGAAATGGACTTTTCACCCTCAGTATTGTTTTTGTTTGTTTACGCTCTTGATCTCAGCTGAGATTGTCATATTAGATCGGAATTTTTTTGTCAACAATTATGCATGTCCATATGTAGTGTATTTCGAGTTTTTTTTATTATTTTGCATCTTACCAGACCATCAATTTGGCTTGCGAACCCATCATTCCACCACTCATCAACTTCACAGAGTGACTGATTTCATTACTTCGTGTCTCGAGCAGAAACTGTACGCGACTGGAGTGTTTCTAGATGTTTCTCAGGCCTTCGACAAAGTATGGCATGAGGGATTATTGTACAAATTAAAATTATTTTTACCCCAGGCCTATTATCTGATTATACAATCATACCTTAAAGAGAGATTTTTCGCAGTAAACCAGGATACGGAGACTTCTCGGATTGAAGAAGTGCTTGCAGGTGTGCCACAAGGGTCAATACTCGCTCCGCTGTTGTACACAATTTTTACTTCTGATATGCCCACAAATGAGAATACACTCACCGCCACATACGCAGATGACACCGCCATATTAACAAGCCATCTCTCTTCTACACAAGCTTCACTCATGTTACAAAACCACAGATCAACAATTGAAAAATGGACCAATCTTTGGAAAATAAAGTTTAATCCCTCAAAGTCACAACATATCACCTTTACACTCCGTCGTGAGACTTGTCCTAGCATATACTTATGCAATGAACCTGTTCCTCAATCTGACAAAGTTAACTATTTAGGACTTACATTTGATAGAAGACTAACTTGGAATCCACACACACGATTAAAAAAACAGACACTGAACAAACGATTTAAAATTCTTTATTACCATCTCAACCGACAATCAAAATTACCATTAAAATCAAAACTTTCGACATACACATACCTACTCAAACCTATTTGGATGTACGAGTGCCAAGTATATGGATCGGCGAAGTATTCCAATATTCAAAGATTACACAGTTTTCAATCCAAAATTTTAAGACTAATTGTTTCTGCCCCTTTTTATGTAAACAATAATACACTTCACAGAGATCTTCAAATCCCAACAGTTTTTTCATCCATCAAAACATATTACAGACGTTTTCATAGTAAATTGCAAAATCACACCAACACACAAATACGATTACTCCATTCCCCACAATTACCCCGAAAGTGACTGAAAAAGAATATGGATAAGAGACCTCTTAAATGATTAATATCATTTCATTAATCCAGAGCGGCTGCCAATGGGTAGCTTTCTATAGAACGCCCATAATGCCAAACACATAATCTGAAATCTAATCTGCTGGTTGTATATAATACATGTACAGTTGTAGATACAAATAAATGAAGTAAAAAAAAAATTATTTTGCATAAATAGTTATTCATTATAACAATAGTGAAAAACACAGACGTGATTGATATATGTAACGAATGTTCGTATAATTGCTTGTTGGACCTGCTTGTGAATCGATTATGTCAAACATACCTGGCCTATCTTAAATATACCAGTTTGTGCTGTGTTTTTTCCTATTTGTACATTTTAGTGACTGGGAGTCACTTGTGGCCCTGAAGAGGGCCGGTGTTGTTTTGTAGCGTCGAGACGATGGATTGAGGCCGTGACCGTGTGCGTGGTGCCGTTGGTGGTGGTATGTTACCGAGTGAACCGTTGGCTGAGGTCCGGGTCCGTGAGTCGGTTGACTCCACAGTGGCCGAAGGTACTGGAGGGCAGGTATTAGCCGAAGGGCAGCAGTTGGCGTTTATACCCACGTCGGCTGTGTTTAGGATGTGAGAATCAGGCTAATGCTGCGAGTACCCTTGCTGTCGTCGACGGTGTTCAATTAGTGATTTGTGAGACCTCGTCGTGTCGACGAGTCAGGTTTCAGTGGAGCATTGCGCCTGCTTATATTTCCAAGGGCTCTACTCTGATTGGCTGCAGAGAGGAGGGCGAGAACATTTCATAAGTGGTAGTGGTATCGAGCGGTAACTTGGTAACTACAAGTGGCCACTACATACATTATGTACTGGAGTATTATTGTTCTTCCTTTAAAATGAAGAATTCATAAGAAAATATGCTTTATTTTCTTGATTGAGATTCACATTGCTATATTAAATAATTTTACATCAATTTGTTTTTGTCGAATCTTTCATTTGTAGCTTTGAAACTGCATGTACCACTAGAAACTTCCGGTTGACTCCTACCAACTTCATGTTGTTACTGAAATGATTACTCTTAGATTTATATCCAATATGTTAGACATCAAATACTAGGTCAAAATGACTACACAATAAAAGGACATCTTAATACTCGAACAACAGAAGAACTGCACATCCAATTTTATGTGACTCTTTACAAAGACATTAAACTTCCTTTCCTTAATACCATATACTCAAATCAGAGTTTACTTAGGAGTTTTAATTTGGTGGTCTACTAGTGGATTTTTCACTGAAGATAACATAAAGGCGAAGTGAGTACAACGTAAGAAACCAGCGAGAATAGATGTGTTAGACTTTTAGGGTATTTTTTTATGAAAAAAATAAAATACAATTTTAACAATTACAATTATAATTGTAATTTTTTACTATTAGCATTATTTTAATAAAAGGAAAAATTTAAAAATAAAAGGCACTGTAAGGGAAACAGAATTTATTCAATCCAATTATTTCTTTTCTAAAATTATATTTACACTCTTCTTTCTTTTAAATTGAATCTTCAAACTTAAATTTTTACAAAAAAATAAAATCAATTCTTCTTGAAACAATATAAAAACAACTTAAAATATAATTAAGAAGTATTTAACCTATTGTTAAAAATAAATGAATTCATATTTACTTATGCGCAATCCCCAAGGAATAAAATTAAGGAAATATGGAATAGGAAAAAACTCACACGATGAATGCCGTTTTCCTGATGTTTTCTCATAAGATGATTCTTCACAAGCCAAGTTGAAGCAGCTACGTTCGAGGTGGTTTGTTCGCCGTCTCCCCATGGAATGCCCCCTGTCCACCGCCTTTTAGCCTTTCTGCTCTTTTGTCTCCCACGAGTTCCAAAGTCCATCAACTCCTTCACGTTCATATCAATTTGTTTGTTACAGATGGACCCAGTAAAGTGATCAAAGTCGAACAACACGACCAACCTTACTATGCAATGTCTGGCCAATAATGTTGCTACTGCGAAACACCGCTAATAACAGGTAAATGCAACGGCAAGGCGTTGAAACTACCGCGTCGAAATCATGACTTAAAAGGTCTCAACGGCCCTGAATTAAAACCTAAAATATTTAATTCTGTTTGAATCTTTCTAGAAAAGCAAAAAGCATATAGAAATGACTTCTGCAATTGGAAACCCCTGTTTAAAGCTAAGCAAGCAATCACATCTACACATGTCACCCGCGGTGATTCCAAAATCCTGGTTAAAATTTGGCCTGCTGTCATCAGTGAAAATCACAAGTACATATTGTCTTTATGTCCTTTCTCAGCAAATTATAGTGAAATTCCAGTTTGAAAATCTTTCTCCTTTTATCGATTATCCGTTTATTTCGTATGTATTAAACCACCTTTTAGTCGTGCTTCTTATGTGATAGATATCCAGGAACTTTCTGACCTAACTCAATAGAGATTGAAGCCCTTGTTCGACTAAGTTCCTGGATGTACTTCAGAGGAGTTCTTCTCCTTCTTTTTGTTAGCTAACCAGAGCTGTGCTTTGTTGGTTAATGCCAACATTAATTTAAATAATAATCTTTGTATGTAAGGTTTTGGTTGAAATGAAAAAGGTAGTGCCACGAGCAGGATTCGAACTCACGACCTTCGGCTAAATACGCCGCTGCTCTACCACTTGAGCTATGGTGACTTCGATCCACTCCGACATCAACTCACATTTCACCCTACAAACTTTCGAATTTTCCCTCCTTTTGCCATTTGTGTCTCAGTGGATCGAAGTCACGATAGCTCAAGTGCTAGAGAACAGCATATTTAGCCGAAGGTTGTGGGTTCGAAACCCGCTCGTGGCACTTTTCATTTCAAACAAAACCTTACATAAAAAAAATTAATTAATTGAAAGAAATAATTTGGTCAATAGATCTAAATATAACGGGGTTAATAATATTTAAATGTGACTGATTTAAATTACATATAGAAAGATAATATTATACCGACTGATGAAGTCAAACTCTCCTTCTAGACTGGTAAGATTATTTTTAAATAAATTATTCAAAATTTAACTTGTTTTTCAGGTAATTTTAAATCTTGGACTCGAAATATATGCCGAATAAGGAAGAGAAAATTTCTGAGTTCTCTCACCAGTTGGACAAGAACTTTTATTTAGAATCACATCTAACTATTTAAGCTTTGAAGGTGCAGCACTACAATACAAAAAAACACCCGTAATCGAAAATATTTCTTATGGTTGCTCTTTAAAACAGAAAAACACGGAGGTGTCCGCTCCCCACTGGTTAAAAGATTGTAACACAATCAAAAATCTTTCAGCTATCTTGCACACATTGTCAATATGTCTATTCCAACTCAATGTTTTATCTAAATATTATTTATTTATTAACTATTTTAATGTATTCATCAGTAAGTAATTTCCTTTCACCTGCAGTAAGTTTTCTCTTCCCACTGAAAGGACACACAACTGTTTCTTCCGACGACAGCATCATTGATTATGGAGAAAAGAATGGTGGTTGTTTTAGCCAGATTAAGGATCGAGCAATGTGCAAAATGAAATTGTATCGAATTACTTACTCATAAAATGTCAAATTATATCAAGTATAAATAATCCCACTACTATTTTTCTTCAAGTCATCCGTGTAGTACAATACGCATAAGACATTCATGACGGCAATTATACAACCAAACTTGACCACCAACAGGATAACAGGAATAATATAATTATTAATGAAATGATCAATTCGTGAAATCCATCAGTAATAGTAGCGGGGCAAATCGTAACCATTGCTAGGTGCTACTTCTTAAGCAAATTTTATATAAAAAGCAACTGTATGTATACAAAAGCATATGGTGTTGTGTCAAGAAAGATTTCGCTTCGAATAAAAACTTTCACTTCATCAAAAAATCAAAGTTTTAACAGTATAATGAATGTTTTGGTTGTTACAAGTATTGATAATACTGGAGACTTCTTGAAATCCAGGTTCTGTTTTGAAAACATGTCTTCGTCTATCTAGAAAGTAGAGGTCCGGGGTCGCCCGGAGGAATCAGAATTAAGAATGGTGCTGCTGCAACGACCTGGCGTCTCGCCCTGCTTTTGTTCGTCTTTTCGAATAGACAAGAGGACTTTATGAGGCGTGTCAATGTGTCTTGATTAGTCTGTACATACTAACAAAACACGAGACCCGACGCTGGCACGCCTTTACAACTAACGAAATAAAACAACCCTCGACCAGGGCGCTTACGGGAACGGAGCAGTTTCGGAAACGCGACGACCACAACGGGTCCTGGTGCTTCATTTATCCATTGATTACAAATTTAGCGAGGGCTAGTACGTAAACACTATTCTTCTTCATTTTCCCATCGACGACTAAGTGCAAAAAAAAGGTTTAAATTGCCTTGAAAGACAAATAAACACATGTGTTTCAATTTGCGGTGTTGAATCTAGAAATATAATTTCGAGAAATATTTCGCCTTTGAGAAAGTATCACGTTCCTTTTAACAACAGCAATAACATCATTTACACGGGGTTACTCGATTTGGTAAGTCCTATTTTCAAAAATGATTACAAACAAACGATATTAAGAATAAGAAACGATATTTTCTAAAAAAAAAAAATACAAAGTTAGCAAGCATAAAATCTCAATCTTCCTCCTTATATTAGTCAAGTCATTTCTTATATTAATAAGGGTGAAAGATTTTGCGTCCACAAAACCATAAACAAAAATTTTTAATACATTTGATCAATCGTGTTACACGCAAAGGAATATCGTCACCCTATTACTCTTGAAAGATTGATAATTTGAAAGTCTTTTAAGGATATAAATAAAATAAAATATAAGAGAAACACTTGATATATAGTAAAACAGTAAAAGGGGAAAACACATGATACTCACGGGCAGTTGGACGTATACCCTCCCATGTGAAATTTGACTAAAAATCCGTTTTACTACATAGATACATAATTTAATAGAATTCAAATTGATGTATTGGATCTTCTTGAGGTCATTACCTCAAGTAATCCCTTCTTGTGGAGGCACATCCGAAATCATCGATGAGGTCTTTTAATGTTGCGTTCATTGTGGACAATGAGGTTGGAGACATAGTAAGGAGTTTGGAGAATTATTCAGAAAACTTTTGAATGGAATCCTTGGATGTTAAGGTGGCCATTCACGATCTCTCAAAATATAACCGCGCCAAGCCGTACAGCTCCGTTTGGTGTGCCTGAAATTTTAGGGGGCATTCACGACCGCTCCACAGCCAGTCGCTCCGAACGTCAACCAGTGAATTACCTTCTCAAAATGGAAGACGAGCTCTTGTGCTACGCTTCTGTTTATTTATATATTAAAAGCAAAAAATCAAAGAAGAAATGGTGAAAGAAGTGACTCCTGAACAGAAGCCGTAGTACCCACATCAATTTGATGAATTCCCTTGAACCCGCTGATTGGAGAAACTATTTAAGGATGGATGAAACGTCTTATTTATTCATTATATTTAATGTTCTATTGACCAAATTACTTCTTTCAATTAATTAATATTTTTTGTAAGGTTTTGGTTGAAATGAAAAAGCTAGTGCCACGAGCGGGATCTGAATCCATGGCCTTCGGATAAATACGCCGCTGCTCTACTATCGTGACTTCGATCCTCTCCGACACAAAAAAATGGCAAAAAGAGAGAAAATTCGAAAGGTTTTGGGTAGAGATGGGGAGTTGGTGTCCGAGTGGATCGAACTATCGAAGTCACGATAGCTCAAGTGGTTAGCGCGGCGGCATATTTAGCCGAATGTCGTGGATTCGAATCCCCTCGTGACACTATTTTTTCATTTCAATCAAAACCTTACACACAAAAAAAATTAACGTCTTATTTATATTTACTCCAGCTTGTTACCCCCTTGATTAGAAAACAAAAGACAGTCATGAGAGAAATCATCACCACATGATAGGTTGGCAACCACAATACGATTTCTCGCTACAGGGATGAACGACAAAGAACTTAAGTTCTCTACTACGATTTCTGATCAGCGTTAGGGGTTATCAATACCCCATCTCTCGTTGCATTTGTATCCTTTGTTTTGAAAACGTCGACCAACTGGTTGAGGATCGAATTTCTTTTATTTCTACCGTGGTAATCATTGTCGACCACTTTCCATAAACATAGTTAACTTTCATACAATTCAATCAGCTCAACAATAAAATCTCGATTGGATGTCTTTACCAATAAAGAATAAACGTTTTTGACTTTTTGAGAATGTACGACGGAGATGTTTGCTCAGTGACAGAAAGTTCAATATAAAGTCAGCAGTGTAAATTGTATATAGGATGGGACAAGAAACGCTCCCTTCTGGGACGCTGCTTCGGATCTGTAAGTAGCCACATCTCACTTTGAATAGGATTTTTAGGATTTGCCAATAAGGAGTGGGTAGAAACTGCTTTAGGTTGAAGAGAATTCTCGGTGCTAGACCCTATCCAAAGCTTGGGACATGTCTAAAAATGTACACAAGCAGTAGTTCTCTAAAGGAGAGAAAATAGTTTCATCAACAGAAAAGTATTGCTGAATCGTGGAATGGCGAGGACGGAAACCAAATTGGTTTTAAGGTATGACATGTATCAATCAATGTCACATCTAGGATGGTTTCAAGGAAGGCTGATAGGTCTGTAAGAGGACATGTGGCTGCAAAGAAGGAAGAATGTCAAAGACAAAATTATACCATGTTCATGTAGGCAAGGTTTATTTTTGTTATAACAGCGGCAAAACAATTTACTTAGAACAAGAAATTTTGAAAATTTCACATAGCAAAGGATATGTCTCAGTTCTTTTCTCTCTATTTTTAAGTTAAAGGTGTGACCAAATCAATTTATATGTTTCTGCTTATTGAGAAAATTATTCATATTAGCGACTGAATTAGCATAACACCATTATTTTTAAAAATGTACATATTTAATTTTTATTTAGAAATCGTGAGATGCGGTCTGGTGTGATGTAGGTTTCAGAAAAAATATTTTCTTTATCGTGCCAACTTTTCAACTTTTATTGAGATCATCTTCAGGGCCTGGGATTTACAAACATTGTTTACATATAACAATTACATTTCGGATGTGGAAAAGTGAATTTATACAATGCAATTCACTATACATTTTTTGTATATTCAATCAAAGTATTTCTACTCACTCAAAGTGTTTGTCTTCTGTGTAATTGTGCCATTCTTGCGTGTCGTGTCGAGAGTGCCAGTGAGATTTTGCTATTTTGTGTTTATATATGTTGGATTTTGAAGGGGTGGGGAAGGAAGTCGGTATAGAAAAGACATTTTTGTATAAGGCGTCGACTTCTTTGAGGTGAAAGGAGCCAACGAAGGGAAAAAAGTGTTGGTAATGGTTCGGCCAGATTATCCTTTAAGGATTATATATAAAGGGATAAATAGGAATAAGGAAAGCTAATTTGTTGGGAAATTAGACTATGTGAAAAATATTTGATGTGTGGAATGTAACGTGATGATATAGGTATGTTATCTGTATTGAATTTGATTAATGATATTGGCGTAGCTGCGACTGAGTTTACATGTATCTGTTCTGTAATTGATGCTGTGTTTATCTCTGTTGATATAAACCATTTCTAAGAAATTACGTTTATATTTGTTTTGTTCTGTATGTAATACTTTTGGATTTTTGAACTCGAAATTGTTTTGGTGTTCAAGATGGTAGAAATACTTTGATTGAATATATAAAAAAATATATTTTGCATTGTATGAATTCACTTTTCCACATCCAAAATGTAATTGTTATATGTAAACAATGTTTGCCATTAACGTTTTTTCATCTCAACTAAAAACCTTAATTAATTGTCATGTATTAATTGGTCAAGCGGACCACGAAAGTAGTGAATTAATATTTTTTTATATTCAACCAAAATATATTTTGCATTGTATATATTCACTTTTCCTCATCCTAAATGTATTTGTTAAATGTAAACAATGTTTGTAAATCCCAGCCCCTGAAGATGATCTCAATAAAGATCGAAACATTGGCACGATAAAGAAAATGTTTTTTTGAAACCTACATCAAACCAGACCGCATCTCACGATTTCTAAATAAATATCGATTAACGGTCAATAATTCCCACACATTGTACATATTTAAATAGAAAAAATATATTTTATATTGTTAATGATAAATTTTTACAATTTAACCATACTTTTCCCTGCCTTGCTTTTTGTCCCTGAGCACTGCAACTTTCTTGCTTATTGTACTTTCCTAGTTCCTTAGTTCAGTACAATCGATTCGATCTTTCTCCTAAAATGTACCAGGTCATTGAATGTCTATGCTACAATTCTTTTCCCAGGGTTTTCTTTACATTCCATGTCTCTGTTGAGCGATTCCTTGTCTTTTGAAAATGATATGAGCGGCTGTTTCTTCCTCATCATTGCATAATACACACATGGGCTCGTTATTGAATATGCCCATGTTGCCTAGATTTTTTCTGATGCCAGTGGCCCGTAAATAGCCCTATCACTCCTCTGAGTCTTGCCCCCTCTAATTGTAGCAGTGAGTTTGCCAGTCTTGGTGAAATTAAGCATACGTATGTGTGTCTACTGCGTATACAGGATGGTTTGGCATAAACCCCCCAAAAAATTGGGTTATAGTACATCAAGTAGAGAGTAAAATGTAACCAACCAACTGTTCCGTCTCAATCCCGTCAGAGGTTATGAATTTTTGCGTCTTTTCGAAAAATCCCGATCTTGAGCGATAAGTTGGCAGTTTTTCAAGATCTAGAGCATCCACGTTCCAGTTTTTAACCACATTTTCGAATTGTGCATTAAATTTCCAAGAAGAAGTAGCTATGCTTAATTATTCAGAAATCATGAGATGCGGTCTGGTGTGATGTAGGTTTCAGAAAAAATACTTTCTTTATCGTGCCAACGTTTCGATCTTTATTGAGATCATCTTCAGGGCCTGGGATTTACAAACATTGTTTACATTTAACAAAACATTTAGGATGTGGAAAAGTGAATNGTGCCATTCTTGCATGTCGTGTTGAGAGTGCCAGTGAGATTTTGCTGTTTTATGTTTATATACGTTGGATTTTGAAGGAGTGGGGAAGGAAGTCGGTATAGAAAACACATTTTTGTATAAGGTGTCGGCTTCTTTGAGGTGAAAAGAGCCGACGGAGGGAAAAACGTTGGTAATGGTTCGGCCAGATTATCCTTTCAAAATTATATAGAAGGGGATAAATAGGAAAAGGAAAGCTAAATTGTTGAAAAGCTATGCTTAATCTTATCAGACAACTGATGTATGTTTTAATTGTATGCCGATGTATTAATTCAACCCAAGATGAAGAATTAAAAAAAAGGAACTTTAGATAAATTTCCAAAAATAACTGTTTTTCTACAAACATACATGTTGTGAAGCCAAATATCATAAAAACTCATTCATCGAGTTGGAAAAAATAGGAGAGGATTGAAATTATAACTTCGAAGTTAACTGGACGAACTGCATTTAACCTTTTCATTTGACGTAAAAAGTCGCTGTTACAATTCAATATCGATAATCAGAAAACAAGTTTCACAGCGGAGTGTTTACAAGTCTGAATAAATTTAGCGAAAGACTGAAAAGCAATAGTGCACTTCAATGAATAGCACATACTGTTGATGATACTGATACTTATCGAAAATCGTTAATAACCCTAATTGCAATGATTCATTAATTATGCGTAATTTTATGTAATCCTGAAATGAAATAATTAATCTGTTGGTGCTAATGGTACTTTTAATCTTTGTAGAGGCGGCAATAAACCGACATCATGTGTACAATGACGACGTGCTTCTTCGTGCTGCCGCTGAATGTGGGAGTCCACTTGTGTGTCGCTTTTATCGTGGTAAGTCGAGGCGTGTACCGTCTTAGTTAACAACGTTAAATCGTTCAGGCGTTTTGAAAAAATTACCTTTATGTTAGAGTTAGCGATCGTTTGTCTGGCACTTACAACTGTGTCAAACAGGCCGGCAGCCCCATAAAATGTAACTAATAAAATGGCCGACTTCTTTCTACAAAGATGTTTCTGTCTAGATCAGCGGAATGTTTGAAGTGATAACCAACACTATATTGTTGGCAGACAACTATCCGCTGAGAGTGACAGACACATTGCAGCGTAAGTATTATTCGCTTCCTACATGGCAACATATTTTTATACTTACGCCCATTTTCGTTTTCCAGAGGCGATTATACTCTTCGTCCTTTTCATCATATATTATATTATGCTGATCGCCGATATTATAATGCATTTCATTATGTCTTATTCGGCACATAAGGTAATAAGAAAGTTTTTACCGTCAATAATATCCGATCTGATTATTGTAAAATAACTGAAACAACTACCCTCAATTATATTAGTTCAATATGTGTAAATGGTAAGAGGACATATAAATATTAATATATTTACAGCACTATATTATGCATTCATACCTAATACACTCGTATCCAACTTATCCTAAGTCAAAGAATCTATCTCGTATCCTAATTCAATCCTAAGCCAAGCCAAAGAAAATTTTCTGCACAGTTTTAAGTTAACTAAGAGATTAAAATCGGTTGTGAATCATAATCGGAATACATACACATATGTTAGGCTGAAATTTGTTGCGGGGCTTACATTTTCTTCAAAGTTAACGAGGCAATTTGAGTAGTTTATCAGAAAGAAATATGCAGCGGTCATTTATGGCATGGTGCGAATTTTAAAAAAAGTTTCACTTCATATATAATAGTTACATGTATAATGCGTACTGTTTTTCCAGAAAAATCATGCCTTGATGTTCATAACGCTATTGTACGCAGCAGGTAAAACGGCAACTGAGGTCTTGCGCTTATGTATCACGAATTTGTTTTTCTACGTCAACACCTTGTTTTTGTTCACTATGACCAGTAATGACGTTCAATTTACCGTCTGTGGTCGAATGAGGAAAATCTTTTTTGTATCTTTGTACAGTTTTCAGGTGTTTCTTTCTCGTCGTGGAATACAGTTTTTGGAAAGAGTTGGAAACCGAGGACGACGATGAAGACAGCGATACCGAGTAAGGGACACCAATGCGGTGAATCGTCGTACTTTATCCGCGCCGAAGAAGTCTCGTTCTTCGTCGGTCGTTCGAGCAACATTTCACAATGATCACCGAATGATATGGAGGAATCAAAATGAATCGCCCTTAAACTGGAAGGGCGCAGAAAAAGTGCTCGCCTCCAGCCGCATATCAAATGCAGAGACCAATATTATAAGACCTGAAGTAATCATCTTTCTTTGGTAGAGATCGAAAAAAAAATGGGCCACTCTCTTTCTACCAAATGAAGATGAAACGGTGATTGATAAATACAACACCTTGTTGCAATTTATAGTATGGGTTTTCCAAACGACAGAACAGTGTTAGTAGAAAATATAAACTTTAGAACCCAAATAATTTTTATTTATTACAAACTTATAACTTATAAGACAAAATGGAAATGCTATTGGGTAATACAAATATTTACATTTTGTCTAGAAAAGATATCACGCCCAGTTAAATAAGATGACCTATTATCCCACCTTCGAGAAGGAAAAATCATAAGTTAAACTACTGACGTCGAAATATAAGAAAACATCATTTATTAAAAAACCTAATAAAATTTATTTTTGCCGTAAAGGGATCGCATAGGTGCCCGTTTTGCATGATAAAGTAACGGTCGAAAACCTTTTTTAATTGTAGAAGGCTTTAACAATGTGGACAATATTTTTTGCATATCGACGGACCTGTGCGTAGTCTTTGGGCATGGCATAGATCGTTCTTTCGGTACCTCAGGATCATAGGACTTTTTGCGTGTGTTTGCGTCATGTTAATGTAATTTATTAGAGTGAAAGGAAGGGATCGTTTAACCCCGACCTGAGAAGTATGGATTCCTCTGGTGTGAGTGTGTGACATCTCGGGGAGTTAAAATAGTTAATAGTGAGTAAGGAGTGGGTTCAATCCCGCGTCGAAGAATATCGAGTACTCAGGGTGGGGGTGAATGTCACTTCAATGTTCGTATCGGGTGTTGTGTTTATATTAAATAACGGAATGAATGTAATTTATTAGCGTGAAAGGAAGGGATTGTTTAATTTCACCCCGAGTAATCAGACTACTTTAATTGTGTGACATCTGGAGAGTAATACTAAGTTATTAGAAAGTGGGTTCAACCCAGCCAAGAGTAATACACGAGTACCAGAGAGGCCGTGCATGCGACTTAGACGTGCCGTTGTTTGATGGTTCCTGAGTACTGGAACGCCTGGACTCTCAAACAAAGTTCCTGGTGTCGTGATGAATCAACTTGCCGAGGCGTACTACAAGGATTCCGGCGAACACCTGACTGTTATACAATATATTTATAATTTTTGTTTCTATTTGATAGTTGATTAGTTTATAAACTGAGGTATAACCGAGAGGCTAGCGTTTTAGGATATCGAAGAAAATATACATATAAAATTAGTGAGTCATTAAGTTCAATTGGCTGCAGGTTGAATTATAGGAACTTGACGAATGCCAATTCTTCCTTAAGACATTTTTGAGGGCTCACAACACCTGTGTACCGATGTTCTTCCATCGAAGAAACTCATTTTCGATGGGTATCGGACCAAATTCAGGATTGCTGAGATCCGAACCCGTCCCAGACCATCTATTGATGAGTGCCGTGTCAATCATTGAATCCACCGGTCCCCTTTGGCGTCATTCAAATCCAGAGGCGACGGTTGTTAAAAACCCTCCAGAACATCAATATCTGTTCGGAGTTGGTTGATTGTCATCATCATTGAATATTATTTACTACAATATTATGTGTTAAATACATATTAGTTGTGTACCTTTAAATTATTAGTTCTACTACTTTATTATTATTCTACTTAGATGTTTAGATGTGCATAGTACGTGTTGATATTGAACCTGAAAATAAAACTTATACGATTAATTATTCGTTTTGTATTTTGTAAAACTTATTCAATTCACTAATTTCGTGGTCCGCTTGACCAATTAATATCTTACAATTAATTAAGGTTTTTAGTTGAGATAAAAAAGTCGATAGCACGAGCGGGATTCGAACCCACGATCTTCGGCGTGATACGCCGCTGCTCTACCACTTGAGCTATCGTGACCTCGATCCACTCGGACACCAACTTCCCATCTCAACCGCACCTTTTGAATTTTTCCTCCTTTTTGCCATTTTTCAAATTTTGTAAAACATTTATTTATTGTTGAGATATATATAATAATACAGCAAACCAAAAAGGCTGAATTATTTCATCTGCCAAGTTTCTTGTTGTTATTGTTATCCCCCGAATTGAGGGGGTGCTACTTACAAGAGAGCAAATACGATAAATCACTGCAGCAGGTAGCAGAGTTATTAAAAATTCATCAGTATCTATTTCCAAATTAAAAACTGAGTGGCGGAAACGATTAAACGCTCGATTAAAAGGGCTGAAGGCGTGGGGTACAAATGGTAAAAATGGCAGTCATTCATTTGCAAAAGGTGTGCATTATGTGGACGATTTCCAATAACGATGGTGATGTTTTCCATATTTTGGCGATTTTGTTTGTTGGTTATATCGCTCCACGTCGAACTAGAATGCTTTTAAAATCATTTCGATTCCTCTTAGGACGGTTCGAAATTTAACTCGAGCCCGTAGTCTCCTTCTACGTTTTTTATTTCCTTCCAGAAACTGTAGTAGACCATTAGAATTAGGAACTTGAAAACTGAAAACAACAATCAGTAGGTCATCAGGTCCGGATTATCAAGCTATGTGAGTAATTACCAAAATGTGGGACGACATGCCATGAAAACATGTTGAATAACTTTGCAATAACGTATTCGATGACGAAACTGACCACTTTGCCGAATGCGTACACCAAGCCGAGAGTTAGCCATGCCAGGTTGAGCTGAAATACGCGAAACTGAAAAATTATAAATTAAAAACAATTTAAATTGGACCTACCTACTTTTAATGCTGAGATACTGACTATAATTGTCGCAGTAATGTCGATTAGAGAGGATATAGAGAGTAGAGTTAAGGAAAAAGATGAAAGAGCATAATCTGAAAATAACGTTTAAATCGCCAGGTTTTGATGCTTAAGGAAACATTTTTAGACTGACCTTGGGTAGTAGTCGAATTGACAAGGTCTGTTATGTATTCGGGGAAGTAATAGACTATCGTGAGAACTTCAAAAGTCTGAAATGAAAAATATCGATTTCATCTAAGTTAAAGAAATTCACTTGAATTACAATAATATTTAATAAAATATGTAAATTCATTTGAACAAAACTTTTATTTTTTCTCGAGGAAACATTTTTTATCAGGCATTTTATATCGAGGATTTTTTATCAGTGTTGTTATAACCTCGAGGAAAAAAACCTCGTCTAAAAATTTAGATATTTGCAACAGTGCTACAAACATTACAACACACATGATAGAGATTAACGCACATAAAAGTAATTTGGTCGTTATCAACGCTGAATGAAAAGTACTAATGTTCGTTTATCACCATTTTATTTGTTGTGACATTTATCCGTGTAGTTACAAAGTGACGACGTCTGACTGACTGACCAAGCCAACGATAGGACGAAGGTTAGGTAGACCAAAATGATCTCTTGTCGTAAATGAGTTACGACCAAATTACAAGGTCCATCATTATTAAGGCTGTACAATTTTGGAATATATTCGAACCTTTATTTATTTTTCCCTTCAGGAAACTAAGAATACGCTTAGTTTACATTTATTATGACTACTGTTTTGTAAATTTATCGACCAGCTTATGCAGATAATGTTCACTTGGTTATCAGGGATGTGATGAAATAAAATATTTTTAATTTTAAATCTTTAATCTAGAATTATGTAGGCGAACTACTGTTATGTATTTCTATAAAAGACCCAGAGAAAAATCGATTTTAAATGCATAAAATTTACTTTAACAACATACTTATAGCGGTTGCTGACATGGTAAAATGTCTAGGCAAGTTTCTCCATTAAAGACTGACATGGAACCCCCACACCAAATGAAAAGACAGGAGCTTGAAAAACGATATATACATCTTTTACATATACAAGACCACCTCGTTTTTGCAAGAAAAATGGCCCATTTTGAAAATGCATACTTTCTTAGCCTTTTAAGTCAGAGATATGCCCTAGGTCTGATTTTTTAGAAAATTTTAGGCAGAACAAGATGACTTTTAAAATGCTTTTCTGGCCTCAGTTATTCATCAGTAAATTCAAAAATTCGGGAACAAATTAATTTTTACAATTTTTACGAACACTTCAAATTAAGCTGTGGAGCCAGTAAATCGACCTGATTTTAAACTGAATTCTGATTTCAACATCAAGATAATTCGCGATTTTGAGGCAAAAAAATGTTTTTTGGTTGTGCCCATGGAATAAAGCAATGACTCACTCTCTCGATTTTCACGAATGCATCAATTTTGACCCTTGAAGTTTTCGAAAATTTTACGCAAACCAACTTTTGTTCAGCCGACTTTTCAATAAAGTGAACAGGAAAACGACAATTATTACTAAGACTTTTTTTTTTTTTTTTTTTTTAATGGACAGTGTATATCTTTTGTTCGTTATATCTCTAGATGCAGGTACCAATTTCGTATAAATATAATTAACAACTTTTTAAAGGTTTACAAACCAATTTTTAAATGTGTTAAAAAATAATGACAACATTATGGTAGGGAGTACAAAAATCCAGATGACCAAGCAATGCTTAGACATTTTTGCAAACATTTCCAGAAAATAAGGAATTTATGATCATCATAAATATATTAAATCATTTTAGAAATAATATCACCGATTATAATTTCTAGTTTAACATGAGAAATAATTTTATATTTGACCTATGTTGTACCAGCTTTTAGAATTTCTTCTCAATATTGTAATGAAATAATGAGATTATGCCATACATAAATTAAACTATTATTTAAAATCAAATCAATTGTAATTTTTAATTTAAAATTTTTTTCACTATTTTCAAGTGTCTTTTAAATACTCACAACTGAAAGGAAGCAGCATATTTGTACGCCGACCTTTAAAGGGAACACAAAACAGCAACTTGTCATATTACACATGATCCCAGATTGTTTGATACCTTTGCTAAAAATCAACATTAATATCATGTATTGTGGTAGAATTTGATTTACGAGTATATCGAATGAAATAAGATTCATCAGCTAACGGAAGTTTTCTATGATCACTAGAGTGATGGTCTTAGCTTATGAAGCTTACATCTACGATAATACAACTTAATTTTTAATCTTCAAAAAATGTAATATTTAACCCTTAAGCTTAAAAATACTGCTTTTCACAATTTTAAAATGCTTATTTTTGCCAATAGGTATTCTCACAGATCAGATCGTAATTTAAAAAATTTGAAACTATATTTGTGCGCAAATCAATTAGTTTTAATGATACAAAAATTGAGTTTGTAAAACAATGAAACATTTCATACAAACCGAGACCCTGAAATGGCCGGAAATGATGAAATTATTGAGCTTCATTCACACTAATCATACGTTAGTAAGAAAGACAATGGAGCGCTTCGGAAAAACGGTTGTAGACGTCTGGTTACCCGGACATATCGGCCTGGATGAAGTACATATGATGTAGATGAGACGGCGAAAGACCCAATTATCGAGATCTGGCCCGGTGTTGCTTTGTGAGCAGTGAAGAATGCTGAAAGGGAATGTTGGCAGAATTGGTGGGCTGGGTCGTCAGAGAAGCTCCTGAGAGTTCAGGGCATAACTGAACGATAGCTCCCCGAGAGTCTGAAACGAAAAGAAAGGACCGTTTGTAGAGAAACGTTGCTATGTGTGCCATATCTCATGGTGCCATGTTTTGGCCCCTTACAGTGGGAGTCAAATACTTGACATAAAGATTGGGTTGGCTGGTCAAATGTTTGGTCACTTCTTATATAATGAAATTATTCTGAGTGTGTATTAATGGGGAAGCTTCCCTTGAGAGAAGAGAGAAGAGAGAGAGAGAGAGAGAGAGAGAGCGAGAGAGAGAGAGAGAGAGAAAGAGAGAAGCATAAAAGAAAAACATGTATAACAATCACTTTGGATGAAAAACACTAGTCAATGGAGGAATTATCTGTTTGTACTCAGTAGAATTTTAATACGCCAGGAGGGTGAATGGAAGGAATATTCAATGTTCTTGAGCTCCAACACCAATATATTATTTCATATCGCCACGGCGTTTGAACATTATCAGCATGAACTTGCATGGTATGCAATAGCATCGGCAAACAGTCATCGACTGGATCGCAGGAATAAGAAAGAAGCATGAGTGTTGATTCCGCTGACGAGCCTCCATCTATTCTGCACTGTGGGTTTTCAGAAAACATTTAAGAATGAGAGAGGAGTGAGACTGAAGCGATGATGGGAACTTATTACTTTGTAAACCAGTGGATGAGACTCAGAATCTTTCCAGCTTTTTTATACCGGACAATGTAGACCAAACTGACATCTGAGAAAGATTGGCACGGTTTTTGCAAAGTGGCACAAGAAGAATATTACTACTACTCAATATATGAACACAGTAAAAGACATGGAATACGAGCGAGTATAACATAACCACGAATTCCTAATCAAACGTTCAAACAAACAAAACACACAAAAATTATTGCGAAACGAAAACAAAAAAATAGAAAAATTGATATTTTTTTTATAAACAATTATAAAAATTTTGAAGATTGGGGTTAATCACGCTCTCAATTAAGTTTACTTTTTATGTCTAGAACTGAATTAACACGTACTTGAAAAGGAATTTCTATCGTCTTATGATCCGCGTTGCCGTTCGGGTCGTTATGCTTTCGCCAAAATTCTTCACTTCCTTGCAAGGTACTTCTGATCGGCTGCATACCATATCCAATCAGATGTAAAAATTTCTTACTTAGTCATATGGTATTCGAATATTTTTGTAAAATATTTCGAGTAAGGAATATCCCAACAAAAAACCTAACCGTCAAAAAAGGGCCATGCTCCAGATTCCTTATCAAAAAACGTCAGCCCAGTCAGCCACACATCACGGTCCTGGTGTTTTAACACTCATTCAGAAACAGCATCAGAAGCTGCTGAAGTTCTTTGAGATTTTGAGGCCCAGACTATCCTACCTATCTAATGCGGTAATAATTTTTAAAAAATTGCAATTTTCATATTCTTCTTACAATTCTCAGCCTTTTTTGAGACCCTCAATACAACAACCTTTTTTGACAATGCAAGACTTACCTTTCTTGAAAATTTCACGTTTCTACCTATACGGGAAGTGTCTAATGATTTTGAAGATGAGGCTACCACCTCTACCCTAAAACGGGATTAATTTTGAGAAAATAGGAATTTTCAGATTTTTACTTTCTTTTACAATTTAGGACATACCTTTGTACGAAATTGCACGTTTCTATCAACACGGGAAGCCTCATAATTTTCATGATCAATGAGTCATTAACCACGCTCAAATGGCTGCAGGTTGAATTTTAGAACTTGACGGTTACTATTCTTCCTTGGTACTTTTTGGGGGCTCGCAATACCTGTGTGAATAAACCCCCGCTGTACCGATGTTCTTCCATCGAAGAAACCCATTTTCGATGGGTATCTGGACCAAACTGACGATTGCTCAGATCCGAACCCCTCCCAGACCATCTAATGAGTGCCGTGTCAATCATTGAGTCCACCTTGGGCGTCATTCAATTTCCAGAGGCGACGGTTGTTAAAAACACTCCAGAACATCAATATCTGTTCGAAGTTTGTTGATTGTCATCATCATTGAATATTATTTACTATAATATGTGTTAAACACTTATTAGTTTTGTGTTTTTAAATTATTATTTCTACTACTTTATTATTTATTATTCTACTTAAATGTTTAGATGTGCATAGTACGTGTTGCTCTTGAACCTGAAAATAAAACTTATACGATTAATTATTCGTTTTTGTATTTTGTAAAACATTTATTTATTGTTGAGATATATAATAATACTGTAAATCAAAAGGGCTGATGTTGTTACTTGAATTATTTCATCTGCCAAGTTTCTTGTTGTTATTGTTATCCCCCGAATTGAGGGGGTGCTACTTAGAGGAGAGCAAATACGATAAATCACTGCAGCAGGTAGCAGAGTTATTAAAAATTCATCAGTATCTATTTCCAAATTAAAAACCGAGTGGCGGAAACGATTTAACGCTCGATTAAAAGGGCTGAAGGCATCGGGCGACTGGTACAAATGGCAGTCATTCATTTGCACCGAAAGGTGTGCATTAGGTGGACGATTTCCAATAACGATCGTGAGAATGTTTTCGATTTTTTGGCGATTTTGTTTTTTGGTTATATCCCTCCACGTCCAACTGGAATGTTTTTAAAATCATTGCGATTCCTCATAGGACGGTTCGAAATTTAACTCGAGCCCGTAGTCTCCTTCTACGTTTTTTATTTCCTTCCAGAAACTGTAGTAGACCATTAGAATTAGGAACTTGAAAACTGAAAACAACAATCAGTAGGTCATCAGGTCCGGATTATTAAGCTATGTGAGTAATTACCAAAATGTGGGACGTCATGCCATGAAAACATGTTGAATAACTTTGCAATAACGTATTCGATGACGAAACTGGCTAATTTGCCGAATGCGTACACCAAGCCGAGAGTTAGCCACGCCAGATTGAGCTGAAAATACGCGAAACTGAAAAATTATAAATTAAAAACAATTTAAAGTGGACCTACCTACTTTGAATGATGACATACTGACTATAATTGTCGCAATAATGTCGATTAGAGAGGATAACATTACAGCATTATATTAGAAACAGTACCACTGAGAAATGAGAAACATAAAAAAATGCTTATAGCACAAACACAACCAACAAAATACTTCACATAGATCGTGAAAGAACCGGACAAGCTAACGAATCTATTTAACTAGTAAGGAATTGAACTGAAGACTACGGGAAAACTACTAAGACCCAACATTGACCAAATGTTTTAGCAATTCTTCTCAATATTGTAATGAAACAATAAGATTATGTCATACATAAATTAAACAATTATTATACAAAATAAAAACAAATTGTATTTTTTAACTAAATAAAGTTACTATTTTCAAGTATCTTTTAAATACTCACAATTGAAAGGAAGCAGCATATTTGTACGCCGACCTTTAAAGGGAACACAAAACAGCAACTTGTCATATTACACATGATCCCAGATTGTTTGATACCGTTGCTAAAAATCAACATTAATATCATGTATTGTGGTAGAACTTGATTTACGAGTATATCGAATGAAATAAGATTCATCAGCTAACGGAAGTTTTCTATGATCACTAGAGTGATGGTCTTAGCTTATGAAGCTTACATCTACGATAATACAACTTAATTTTTAATCTTCAAAAAATGTAATATTTAACCCTTAAGCTTAAAAATACTGCTTTTCACAATTTTAAAATGCTTATTTTGGCCAATAGGTATTCTCACAGATCAGATCGTAATTTAAAAAATTTGAAACTATATTTGTGCGCAAATCAATTAGTTTTAATGATACAAAAATTGAGTTTGTAAAACAATGAAACATTTCATACAAACCGAGACCCTGAAATGGCCGGAAATGATGAAATTATTGAGCTTCATTCACACTAATCATTTAATTAATAAGAAAGACACTGGAGCGCTTCGGAAAAACGGTTGTAGACGTCTGGTTACCCGGACATATCGGCCTGGATGAAGTACATATGATGTAGATGAGACGGCGAAAGACCCACTTATCGATCGAGACAAAAAAAACATAAAAGTATAAGAAATATAACAATCACTATGGATGAAAACCACTAGTCAATGGAGGAATTATCTGTTTGTACTCAGTAGAATTTTAATACCCCAGGAGGGTGAATGGAACGAACATTCAATGTTCTTGAGCAGTGGCACAAGATGAATACTACAACTGCAATATGTAAACACAGGACAAGACATGGAATACGAGCGAGTATAACATAATCATGAATTCCTAATCAAACGTTCAAACAAACAAAACACAAAAAAATTATTGCCAAACAAAAACAGAAAAATTATATTGTTTTTTTTAATAAACATTTATACAAATTTTGAAGATTGGGGTTAACCATCGCTCTCAAGTAAGTTTACTTTTTATGTCTAGTACTGAATTAACACGTACTTAAAAAGAAAATTCTGTCGTCTTATGATCCGCGTTCCGTTCGGGTCGTTATGCTTTCGCCAAAATTCTTCACATCCTTGCGCAAGGTACTTCTGATCGGCTGCGTACCGTATCCAGTCAGATGTAAAAATTTCTTACTTAATCATATGGTATACGAATATTTTTGTAAAATATTTCGAGTAAGGAATATCCCAACGAAAAACCTAACCGTCAAAAAAGGGCCAAGTTCCAGATTCCTTACCAAAAAAAGTCGGCCTATCAAAGTACCTACAGTGTGGCCAACCTCAATTTCCTTCTACTTTTATGAGCAACGCCGATCTATTATTTTTATTGCATAACGGCCAATTTCTGAATAAACAATGAGGAGCCTGGAACTTTTTTCGTTTATTATGAGTTCTCTACCTTTCTTCACCACACCTCTCCTATATGAGCTTACATGGTCCTGATGTTTTAACCCTCATTCAGAAACTGCATCAGAAGCTGCTGAAGTTCTTTGCGATTTTGAGGCCCAAACTACCCTACCCATCTAAAGCCAGAAACACATTTACCCGATGCTACGCCATGCGACGCAACCCGATGCTACCCGACGCCTTGCCACGTTTAGGTGGGGTTTGCACATCTATCCGACGCAAGCACACGTCGCGTACAGTCCACAGCGTTTATCACAATAATCACTATCACAATCGCTACGCATCTTTTGTTCTTAATGCACTATTTTGAGCAAAACCTTGAAATAAATTGTTAGTTAAATTTTATGAGCACAACCATCTAATAAATTATTTGTTAAACTTAATTCTTTTAAATAAAGTTACTCCTAACTATCATAATTAAACAATGTTTATAAAAGCTTATGCATTTTTGATCTCGTTTAATTTGGTTTACATTAAAATAACATGTAGTGATTAATATAACGACAAAATTACATGTTAGTTTGAAATAAACTACAAAAAATATGACTGTCCTGTTCTGATGCTACCCGACATTACAAAATGGTGTAATTTTACGTTCGAAACTATGCAATAGATTGTTAATTAAATTTTATGAGCAAAACCGTGTAATAAATTGTTCCAATTTTAGTATATGTACCGCCGAAGCGAATACAATAAATTGTTAGTTCAATTTATTATATCAAAAAATCGTATTCCAGTTTTTGATTAATTTTCTACCAAACCATTAAAATTAATTTTTTAAATAAAAACTAATTAATTTTTAATCATAGTTAATTTGGTTTATATTAAAATAAGTATGTTGTAATTAATATAACGACAATAATACATGTAGTTGGTATAAAAATATGAGTGTGCGGTTCTTTAACCGCTCAAATTTTGAAAATATCCTAAGCGACCTAAGCTTAATCTATTTTTCAAATTTGAAAAGTCCATCTTAAGAAGAAGAAGAATATGAGGGTGAGAAAAACCGGGTGAGTTGTGTAAAGCATGGCAGCTTGCTAAAACTTGGCAAGCGCACTGCCGTGTGTCCATATAAAACCGCTTTTTCCCTGCTCCATTCCGGTGGTCGGAACTGCCAACTTGTGAAGTCCATTACATCCTCGAAGTGTGAGGTGTGCCCTATTTTTTTTCTAAACCAAAGAAAACAATTCTTCGCCAAAAATGTCTTCCTAAATCAAAAGCCCTAGACTCGAGTGCATCATCCTTATTTCAGCCGTCTGTCAATTTTTATCTAAACAAAAACAAAGCCAGGTACGGCTCCCCCGTGGGTAGGATTTTTTTATTCCAATATTACGGCCCTTTTCCTTCGCGTCGGAAGAGGATATCATACTGTTTGTCACCAGGGTAACAACCCTTTAAAAAAGTGATTAGCATAAAGGGTTGGACCACCCCTAAGGACGGCTAATGTTACTAAACGGCTCTATTAAGTCCTTCGACAACCCCTCTGTTTAAGGGATTCCGCCCTTAAACGGCCGCATTCTCTGGACATTAAGCCCTCCCGCCGAAAACATTAGGGGAAACCTTTTATTTTCTCTAATGAATGCAATGCTATTTTGCCGTTAACGACACACATAATTGACATAATTTTTCATTATGATTTCTTAAAGAGATGAACGTCGCTTTTCATCAACCATAAGTACTATTATTAAATAGTGCATTGTATTTATTTAAATTTACCCCTTCCGGTATATAAGCGATTTTTTATCAGCCTATATTATACCTTTATATTAATATAATTTTTATTAGATTGTCACACAAGAAATGCCGGTTTTTTTATCCGGGAGTAAATTAAAAAATCGACTAACAATTAAAATCCATTTTAACCGATGTGTTTATAATCTTTTTTTACGCATATTTTGCAAGGACTATCACCTCTTTAAGAATATAAACTTTTGTAAATTTCCCTGAATTGAAGTAAAATCGAAATACTTTTTCGAATAAAGATGATCATATTCTGTAAAAATTATTAGGATGAGAAGTGCAGTTTTTATCGCCAAACTTGTTTAATTTTTCCTGTCATGATACAGGATAACTCTTGTACGCCTGTGCTGGCTGGTTTTCATAAACTTATGATTACATCATCAGATACTTCAAAGATGAAGATCCGCATGGTTGTTAAGAATAATGAATGAAATCACAGACAACTATACCCCTTGACAATCACCATTATAGTTTGTAGATTGAGATTATATTTTCATATGAGTCTATGAGGCTGATTATAAACAATTAAAATCCATTTTAACAGATGTGTTTATGATCTTTTTTGACACGTTTTGCCAGGACTATCAGCTCTTTAAGAATATTAACTTTCGTATATCTCCCTGAATTGAAGTAAAATCAAAATTCTTTTCTGACGCATTCAGCTCATGTGGGAGCACTTATCGTGTTTTTTAACTTTACTGATTGATTTTATGTCTGTGGGAACATTTTTATTTCAGTAAGTAAACCTTAAACAATGTTTATTAATCCCAGGACCTTAATTAAGACGATCTCAATAAAGATCGAAACGTTGGTACGATAAAGAAAATATTTTTCTAAAACCTACCTGACACCAGACCGCATCTCACGATCTCCAAATAATCATTAACTAAAGGTCACTAAACACCAACCAGTGTCAAGTCGAGCAAATGGCAAATGCTGTAATGTCTTGATGAGGATTTTCTGCCGCAGTTTCCACAAATTGTTATCGATGAAAAAGGAATAGGTCGTGTTTTAATAAAAACTGCCTTGCTTTTGATTTTTTAACATTGCTAGTAGAGAATCACAAAATCGCTTGGCATTTTTCTTCTTGATATTCATTCAAAATAAGCGGGATTCACGTTCTTAGTCGACTTTTCCCATTGATTATAAATTATTGGAAACTTCCGTCAAGATGAACTGCAAATACTCTAAGTATAGTTTGATGGAACTTTCGTACAAAGCTTTCAGTTCGTTATTGATTGAAGATGAAGGTTGATATACGTGGATGTGTATATATATATAAAACTTGTAATTGTGTAACTATGCTAAATTACGCAACTAAATAACTAGTTTATGATAAACTAAATAAAAGTTTATGATAAATAAAATACATTATACGTGAAAATTAAGTCATAATCTAATCATAAACTAGTTATTTAGTTGCATAATTTTAGCATAATTACACAATTATAAGTTTTATATATAATATATGTTATATATATTATATATTATATAAATTATATATATTATATATAAAACTTATAATTGTGTAACTATGCTAAAATTACGCAACTAAATAACTAGTTTATGACTAGATTATAACTTAGTTTTCATGTATAATGTATTTTATACGCCTGTGTTTTCAGTAGGTTCATAAGCACAATGTACGTGCATATCGGGTTTGTGAAGGACCCTTTTTTGGATTTGCCTAAAAAATGTTTAGGACAACAACTACAATTACAAGCCGTACTTTTAAGCCAGAAACACACTTACCCGATGCTACGCCATGCGACGCTACCCGATGCTACCCGACGCAAATCCAAACTCCGATTTTCCATAAGGTTGCATTACCCCCCTTGCACATCTACCCGATGCTATGCCACGCTAACCTACCCGACGCTCTGCGATCCCCACTGTCCAGATTTTCGTCGGGTCGCATGGAGTACAGTCGAAGACAAAAGAACCGGACACTCATATTTTTATTGTCGTTATATTAATTACAACATACTTATTTTCATATAAACCAAATTAACTGTGATTAAAAATTAATTCGTTTTTATTTAAAAAATTAATTTAATGGTTTGGTAGAAAATTGATCAAAACAGCGGAATACGATTTTTTGATATAATGAATTTTACTAACAATTTATTGTACTCGCTTCGACGGTACATATACTAAAATTGGAACAATTTATTACACGGTTTTGCTCATAAAATTTAATTAACAATTTATTTCATAGTTTTGCTCGTAAAATTACACAATTTTTTAATGTCGGGTAGCATCAGAACAGGACACTCATATTTTTTGTAGTTTATTTCAAACTAAGTACATGTAATTTTGTCGTTATATTAATTACATGTTATATTAATGTAAACCAAATTAAACGGGATCAAAAATGCAAAGATTTTTATAAACATTGTTTAATTATGATGGTTAGGAGTAACTTTATTTAAAACAATGAAGTTTAACAAACCATTTATTAGATGGTTGTGCTCATGAAATTTAACTAACAATTTATTTCAAGGTTTTGCTCAAAATAGTGCATTAAGTACAAAAGATGCGTTGCGATTGTGATAGTGATTATTGTGATAAACGCTGTGGACTGTATGCGACGTGTGCTTGCGTCGGATAGATGTGCACACCCCACCAAAACGTGGCAAGGCGTCGGGTAGCATCGGGTAGCGTCGCATGGCGTAGCATCGGGTAAGTGTGTTTCTGGCTTTAAGCTTTTACCACTCGGTTGAACAGTCAATAGTCAAAAATAAACAGACTGCGAGGTCCAAATTAACGCGTTTAAAGAAATAAAAATTATTAAATAACATCTTGCAATGGACAACAGGCATCTTTATGGCAAAGCCAGATCCCTGTTAGATTCGTCAAAATGATATGGTTTTATTAATCAATAATATCATTAAAAACTACTTAATATTTTTCGCTACTGGACCAATTCAATCAAATTGAAAAAAAAAATATATTAATGCGTG